ATGGAAGACTTACCAGGAGCAGGGATGTAACTGTACATTTTTTTTACAAAATTCACATATCTCCAGGCACTGGGGTGAATAATGGAGCATGGTGGTGGGGCCCATTAAGCTCCGCCGACCAGAGGTCTCGGCTTCATAGCTCACAAGAAAGGGAGAGGTCCTAGATGTACATGTATATCATTGCGTGTAGCAGGTGTTCTGAGCACGTCTACAGCGCCGAAAGCAATGCGCGAAATCCTCTCCCATCCACAATTTACATGTACATCATTATTTTTACGTGTAGCTGTGCAAATACAAATGCTTCCCAATAGTATACAGTAAAACCTGTAACTAAAGACCACCTTGACTAGCGACCAGCCTGGTACTACAGTAAAACCTGTAACTAAAGACCACCGTGACTAGCGACCAGCCTGGTACTACAGTAAAACCTGCAACTAAAGACCACCGTGACTAGCGACCAGCCTGGTACTACAGTAAAACCTGCAACTAAAGGCCACTGTGACTAGCGACCAGCCTGGCACTACCGACCACGTCGCCAGGCACAGACGGTCTCACATTATGGTTGTGCGGTGCAAACCTCTAACTAAGGACCACCTGCCGCTAAAGACCGCTTCCTCTGGCCCCGAGGGGTGGTCGTTAGTCACAGGTTTCACTGTACTATCTACACCACCGTGTTAGGTGCAATAAACTTGCTCGCTTGCATCACATCAGAAAGGATCAAGAGTCAAAAAGTTGGCACCAATGAGTACGTTTTAAAGTGTTGATCTTGTCACTTTCCAAGTGGATATGCACGAAATCCGAAACAGCTGCATATTTCGCAGATCACTGATTGTCACAGCTTGTGCCATATTTTCGCCTAAAAGTGGCTACACTCAAGAAGGCAAGGGGTGACATGGGACAAGAGATTTCCCTCAAGTCCCCGGGGACGTGCATGAACAAGTAAACAAGTCATTAAGGTTTTCATTGCTATACCCTCTCCATTTTGTCTTCTCTCCTCTCCCCATTAACGCTCATGGCGAGCAAGCTTGCGGTACCACCGAGACCACAGGTCGGCGTTGTTGTTGGTTTGCCTCACCAGCACACGTTCGTTCTTGGAGCCCTACTCTTCCCATTGTTCTGTTGTCCTGCTACATCTCTCCCGTCTTCTTATGAGTAGACTGTGGCTTCAGTAGAAACAAAATCCCTTGCGCACTACATGGTCGCACAATGTGTGTTACTGTATCCATCACCCGCATCACTGTCTCTTCTCTACTGACGTCACAATGGGCATTACGAAATGCACACGTACTTGTACTAACATTGATTTATACCACGGCATTTTGACAGTAGGTCTGTGTCATACTGCTGACTTTAGCCACACTCTTGCTGTTAACAGGACTACCCAACAGAACCAACAGAGCAGGAATTTAACGAGGGCCTTTAATGAGAGTGAACGGGAGACTACTGGAGACTACTGGAGAGGATAACTACACGTTTCAGGGAAACAAAACTTCATCATAATAAACAGATAGCGGTAATACACATCAGTGCTGCGGATGAAAACATTAGTGTGGGTGAGGACGTTTGCAATTCTATTTATATGGGGAACAGATTCCGCTGAAAAGTTGACTTCAATAACTCTGCCAAAGGACCCTTGTTTCCTGCTACTTTGAACAGTTATAACTACATGTACATTATCGAAGCGTAAAAGAGAAGTGGTGAGCAAACACACTCTTTCCCTGGGCAATGCAACAGACACAACTCATTTCACAGAATCCTTTTTTCTCGACGTTTCGGCAAATTGCCATCATCAGGTTGCAGTAAACGAAACATATAAGCCTCGGTAATTATGCCACCAACAGGGCTGGTGTGTGGAGATTGCAAAGTGATTCGAATGAACCTTTCAGCTACAAGACACGTTCCTACCATTGCCGAAGAACGAAATAGCATAACGCAAGAGGCAGCAACGCTGCAGGATTCTTAGGGGATGGTTCTTGGTATCTGTTCTTCACCTGTATGCAGCGGGACGCGCACAAAGACCTGTGGTCTTCTCCGACAAAATAGTACCTATCTTTGTGGGCGTCATTGATTCTACCTAGGTACCCTTAACGTGGGAAAGAGAAAGAGGAAAAGAAGGAATAACAAGGATATAATTATAAGTTCTAGTGCTGAAACGATTATGTCGATAACTCGGATATCAATCGTTATGGGCGAAATCGATAATCGTTAGCAATCTCTAACGATTATTGTATGCAAGTGTACGCACTACATGCACAGGGTTCACATGGTTCAAGATCGGAGTGCAGTGTCCGATCGATCCGAGTCTATCTGCATGCAGCACGCGTACACCTGGTACACACGATCTACTTGCATGCACTTCTACCTACACGCGGGAACGCGGACCGACTGGACTGCACAACACACAATCATGACCATGATGACTGTATCATGTACTGCACGCAGCGCAGTCCGGAAGTGTTGCAACTAACGTAACGACGTACTTACTTGCCGCTGTTCTTGCAACATTGGCGAAATGTTTGCTGATCGGTTCGTTGCATGCAGCAATGGCGATCGGCTTTTGTTCTTGGTGTTTTGCTACAACAGTCGTCAGTTGTTGGAGTGAGCTCACAGAGAAGTTGGACAGTGTTTCGTTTTACGTTTGGAAGATGTCGATGATTAGAGCTGCGAAAGTAAGCCGCGTAAAAGGTCTCCAGTGTGGGCCTATTTTGATGATAGAGGACGGACCGCTCGTTGTAAACTGTGTAGTCGTGAGTTTGTCCGCCAGAGCGGAACGACGAATTTGCTTGCCCACTTGAGCTCTGCTCACAAGGAGCAACATGCGGCTGCTGTTGGTGGAAAGCCACCAGTTTCAGCGGAAAACAAACGGATCGATGTTCAAACGTGTGCTGATACGAAGCCGATCTCTAACTAACGTCACTTCTTTGGCGGTGCGGCCAATATGCGAACGTGCAACTCCAGTCGTGCGGGACATCTCACGGAACTGGTTATAGATTGGATAGTTGACTCGACAAGGCCCTTCTCCATTGTCAGTATCGATAAAACCAATAAATCGATCGTTAGCGTTATTCGGGAGAATGAAGTCGAAGACACCACTGCAGCTGTACTTATGGTTGATAAATATGGTGGTAAAGACACACCTGGGAATATGGCGGTAAACACACGCCTGCCCACACACGCTCTCTAGGCTGCAAAGTTCTGGCACAGAGCTCTCCTTCTCACCACCACCACCATCAGTTCGCACCTGGCGCCTGGTCGATGCATGGCGGTATCCGGCATAGCAGGCTGGTACATCAAGTAGCGCATGGCACATAGATGATGACACAGCAACGACATAGCTCGATTGCGACGTACGTTTCGTCCCCGCTGGACTCATCAGGCAATCTTCTTCTTGCCAGGTGTATCTTTACCACCATATTTATCAACCATAAGTACAGCTGCAGTGGTGTCTTCGACTTCATTCTCCCGAGTCAAGCTCCGTATGAAGACATCCAAGAAGAAATTGCCTGATGAGTCCAGCGGGGACGAAACGTTGACTCTACGTCGCAATCGAGCTATGTCGTTGCTGTGTCATCATCTATGTGCCATGCGCTACTTGATGTGCCAGCCTGCTATGCCGGATACCGCCAGCCATGCATCGACCAGGCGCCAGGCGCGAACTGATGGTGGTGGTGGTGAGAAGGAGAGCTCTGTGCCAGAACTTTGCAGCCTAGAGAGCGTGTGTGGGCAGGCGTGTGTTTACCGCCATATTGCCAGGTGTGTCTTTACCACCATATTTATCAACCGTTAGCGTTTTTGGTTAATCGTTTAAAAGAGTTAATGAATGATCGTTTCAGCCCTAAATTTATAACAATGCATGGCCAGATTGAATGAGAGCGTGTCGAGGGTCGGAAAATTATTTCTGCCTTTTTACTCTATCATCTAAGCACACTAAGGTGCAAACACCGCTGCAAGTCTACTTGAACATCCACACTAGCAAAGTGCTATTCCATGTAGCAAATCTGTCTGCATTATCGTGTGTGAAAGAACGTACTTTGCATGGTTTTCGCAGGCGCCAAATAATCGTTGGATGACAGGTGCACCTCATCTTGTCACATAGCATGGTTTAGGGACGAGAGGTCTCGAAACTGCTCGATAGCGCTAACCAGCTGCGCTTCCAACTTGGAAGGTTCATGGATATTAGTGCTAATTGCAAAGAGGGGAAGGCGAGCGTCATCGAGCCGAGCACAAGCTACATTCCAAGGCTTCCCCTCTTTGGAGTTAGCACTAATATCCATGAACCTACCAAGTTGGAAGGCAGTTAGTTAGCTCTATCAAGCAGTGCTCAAGCTGACGTTCATGCCGTGGAATGTCTCAGTACTCCTTGTCAGTTTTGTGCTACTAGTAGATTGTGCACGTCTGGTTTAGAGGTCTCGAGACCAGTTCTATATTTCAACCTTGAAATAGACCTTCATCAGCGCTACTGACATACACTCATGTAGACGGGAAATGAGATACTGAGAACAGGATCGTGCACGGGTCCAATTTCTGCGGCAAGTTAGATATTGTGATTTATATTAGAGCATAGAAAAAACGTGCAAAGATGCAGTTTATCGAGTAAGCACCTGGACACGATGTCAGTATAGAATCAAGAGTACATAACCCCACAGAGCGTTCAACGCCTGATCCAGCTCTGCATAGGGTCCCCTCAGATATGTACGGTATTATGATGCAAAGATGCAATTACGCTCCACCAAGGCCCTATGCAGAGCTGGATCAGGCGTTGCACACTGTTGGGGGGCGCATGTGTTTCATTTGTGAACAATAGCCGATTTCTCGTTGGGGGCTACGTTCCACCCGTGCACCGAGTCTCCGGATGTGCTCAGGTGATCGATGTGGTGTGTACACTGTACGTACATGTAGGTGCGTACAATGTATGTGCGTGTACATATCCAGTGAATTGACCTACACGTCTGCGTTTAAAGGGACATCATTGGCATTTCAAGTGGCTGGGAGCCGAGAGATGCCGCTATAGTGCTCACGAAATGAATAAAATGCGATGAATTCATTTTAGGGTATCATTCTGATAATAGGCTAGTCGAAAAATTTGCTCGCAATACTTCCTACTCTATGGTCAGCCGTGCTTTCGAAGGTATGTGCTTCGGGTTATACAGTACCTTGAGTTGTTGGTGTTTGACACATTTTTCTTGTACTCCTCTTTCTATGTATTACATCATGATTTGTTCCTGACTCTGTTCTCCCTTTCGTAGCACAGCACTGTTGAGTTACCAAGAGTATACCACTCATACTTCCATACTAAGTCTTCATCAAATAGTAGGAGCCGTTGTTGGCTCTGGCCATCCCGGCAAGAAGGCAGATATGCTTGTTCGATTGGTGAATAAAACTAGAAATACCATACCATACTCAAAAGTTTGTAGTGGAGACTCTTGTATGGGAATTCAAGAAAAAAACTGGCCTAACAGTTTACGTAAACCTTTTAAAACTCGGATGGTGAGCCAATTAAATTATGGTGAAAATGGAGGACAACAACAGTTATGTTACGAGTTATGACTAACTGTCCACGAACATACCCAGATCGTATACAGTCACCGACTGTGGCTGTTGCAGACTTGCAGTCCTACTGACCTACTGACCACTGAAATAGCCCCTAGTAACTGTTATGTTCGACGAACGTGGATAGAATGACCCAACGCACATGCGGAAAACATTATCATAAGGTTTAGGTCCACCCTTCTTGTTGCCCAGAGCCTATGCGTCTCAACTGTCAATCTCTATGTCTGTCCAGGCGTCAATGCTAGTCTCTTTCTGCAGGGGTGGGTGGGTGGGTGTCAGCATGTGTTCGGAATATCAACATGCTTTTAAAACTGTTGGGGTCCTGTGTTTTTCCTGCAGGCTGGGGAACGTTCACGATGGGCCGTGTTCTGGTTGCGGTGCAGCTGCTCTTGGTCGTGTTTCTGCCAAGTATCAATGCACAAGCCGGTAAGAAACTTGTGTTACGACTCAGCAGCCGCAAAATCTATTCTGAGACACTAATCCCATTTAGACTGGATTGTAGCAAGCTCAAGAGTATGGTTTGCATTCACATCATGGATGTTATGCTGTTGACTTTGATCTTTGCAATTGCATCAATATTTGAGATAGGTAATTCGCTGCATCCATTCTTCCCTTGTGCCAGGCCACGAGTTCCCAATTAGCTGTGGGTCGAAGCACGACTGCAAAATCCTACCGCTACCAATCAGGACTTGAACCTGGTACCCTCTGTTTCTCAATCATGATCTTGGACCATCCCACTATGCCTGCCTGCAGCAGTGAATGGGATTTTCGGTCTTTGACCACTTTGTCTTTGTAGTGGGTCTCTATACTCACCTACCACCGCTCAGGAGCTGAATCTGCGCCTTGATATTAGAGAGTGGTGGCGTTCCTGCGGATGCGGAAAACCCGGAATCCAGCCGAGCCTCATACGAATCGTGAATTTTTCATTTGTCGATACGATTAGTCCTCTGGTCTCTTCTCAGTCCTTTGCCCCCCCCCCACGCACATACACCTACATACACACGCATTTACACACATACACACATACACGCACACACACACACACACACACACACACACACCCTCACACACACTTGTACTTGTTGCTCACTGCCAAAACTGGTCACGTTGGTCTCCCCGGGAGAGGGGAGAGAGACTCAAAAGGAATCTTGGAAAGATGGCTCAATTGGCTATTGAACCGCCCAACGGCGACACCCTCTGAAATCCCCAAAACTCTGGGTGGACTTGAAAATGATCCCACTTATGGGCTCACCACACACACACACATACACACACATACACACGCATATACACACACACACACACACAAGTAGCGACGTTACGTGCACTCCGGGGCAGAGCAATGCTGCAGTTGCTTCTGCAGTTCATCATCAGACAATGCAATTGTAGTGAGGTACAGTAGTCACATGATTGACAGTCGGTAGGATCAGAGAAGGTACACAACACTGTAGGCGCGTATCACTTCCAGGGGCAATGTCGGAAGGTATTTTAGTGTGGTACGGTCAGCCATCTGAAGCACAATTTACTCGTGGTGGAGAGGTGGCTGAGCCGGAAATGTTGGAAATTTAGATCCCACATCAGTGTATTTTATTGATTCACGGGTTACCTCGGGCAAAAGGTGGTACGGTCAATTCCGTAGTGACCGTACTGTGTCCGACGCCCCTGCTTACCTAATGCTTTCAGCCCTGCTGCTGCTGCTGCTGTGTCGTTCCCTGCAGAGAATTGCCCGTCTGGTTGGAATTACTATCAGCGCCATTGCTATCTGGCGGCCTATGACAGCACAAGGTATAGTGTGGCAAGAACGGCATTCTCATCCCACAGCGAGTGTCTGAGGTATGGTTCCCATCTCGTCAGCATTCGCAGCCTGGAGGAGCGACAGAGCATCATCAGCTACCTGTCCACTCACGCTAATTTCGGCACCGCCACTGTGTCAGTCATCATCGGCCTGCGTCACAACGGCCAGGAGTTCTATTGGGACGACGGCAGGACGTTCAACAGTCGCAGTTTCCGAAACTGGGCTCCCGGCCACCCAGTTCTGGGCCATCGTGGAGGCGATTGCGTGTACATGCACTACACAAATGGTGTGAATCGCGATCTCTGGTACACCGCGGACTGCGAAGCTAGGTTTACACGCTGGGCTATGTGCAAAAAGCCTTCTGGTATGTGTACAGCTGTAGGAAGTGAAACAAATTTTACAATATGATGTTATGGGACCTGACCAACGCTAAATGCGTGGTCTTCACCACACGGCAGCACACACACACACACACAAACACACACACACACACACACACACACACCATGGACCGTGGACCATGGGACGCCCATCGCCAGAGGCGATGATAGTGATGCTACAGCAGATGCCATAGCAGCTTGTGGTGGGATTGCACCATTCTACAGCTGGTAAGGCTGAAGAATGGACCCCCACTATTCAGCCTGGTCTCACCACACAGCTATGAAGTGGCTTTTGCTGGCCAGTGAATCCCTACGTATTGGTCCTTTTTTATATTTTTCCACACACACACACACACACACACACACACACACACACACATCACACCACATACTCCGGCATGCACTGGCTGTTGGTAACCACCCAGGAGAATGAAAGTAAAGTGAGGAGGAGTCTGAGAAAGAGAAGAAAGACGTGTGTGACCATAATCGTCGGGAATCGAAACCACAACCTCTCGATTGGAAATCACTACACACACCATGTGCACACACACACACACACACACACACACACACACACACACACACACACACACGCCTGGTCCTGGTCCTGTGGTAAACGCTGCCATTTTACGGTCACGTGTCCCCTTGCGGGGCTGGCAACATGGAACGACGATCGACGGCAGAAAGTCGGCGATCTGCCGAGAGGTCAGGGACCATGTTCAGTTGGCACCACGAGAGAGCCATCTCCGGCAGCTATGGATTAGAAGCCACGAGTAGAGCGGCAGCACCGACCACAGACCCCACAGTGGGCCTTGAAACATAAGAGATCGAGCCGGACACGCGGCGGTGGAGGAGTCGGCTGAGCAGCAATGGTGGACACCGCTGCTCGGCATGGAACTTGAGACGATGCGATGGGGAGCACACACACAACACACACACATACACACACACCTTGGTCCTTGGTAACACTGCCATCAAATGGTCACGTGTCCCCTGTGCAGGGGTCGACAGCACTGAGTTCAGCATTGGACCCAGAAACGCCGCTCTACTTCCTGGACAGGAAATTAGCACAGCTATGCAGGTCGAAACCACGGGATGACTTGCAGCAGCGACCGCAGCCGAGACAATGCGCTCTGCAGCAGGGCAGGGCAACCCGCTGTTTCCGGACCGAGTCTGCCGATGCCACAGCCGAGACCGGCGCCACTTCAGCAGCCGAGTTGGAGAGACACTTATGCGAAGCTAGCCCGCCAGCACTCAAGAACCATCTCCCGCACGCATTACATAGTCGGCTGCCGGACTGCTCAGATATGGGCTTCCTCCTCTCGGCCAGGCACTTGTGGCGATTCTTGTATTTCTGGTGGGCGAAAGTACGCTGGCAAACATCGCAGAGCACAGAAGTGTCACGCTGAGCCGATCGCGGTACTGGTTGAGCGGAATACGCACTGCGCCATTTCCCACGCTCCTGGGCGAGGTCGTACCATTCCGTGTGGTCGATGTTCACTGCGGAGAGGTCAGCTCTGACAGAGTCTCGCCACCGTTTCCGAGGACCGCAAGCCGGCCTCGGCGGAAGGAGCGCACCAAACAGGAGCTGGCGCGGAGTTCTATCGCCGTCCATCCTAGCTAGATGGCCTAGCCACTCCAGACGGCGGCGAAGAACACGTGTGGTAATATCCACTGGATCTCGACGATTCCAGGCCTCCAGAATGGTCTTCCTGTTGATGTGGAAGTCCCAGGTGTCTCTTCTACCGAGGGCTAAGATTGCGGAAATGCAGCGAAGATGGAAGGCGGACAGCGCCGCAAGCTCGCTTTTCAGTGGTACCCAACACTCCGCTCCGTAAAGGAGAAGAGAAGCCACACATGCATCATACACCATTCGCTTCGTTGCCAGTGAAAGATCGCCATCATCAAAGACAGATCGACGCAATGCTCCGAATGCCCTAGATGCTGACGCTATTCGGGACCGAGTGTCCATTGCGGTGCGGCCACCAGTATGGATGATGGAGCCTAGGTAGCGAAAGTCATGCACATTCTCGACAATTCCCCCGCCAACCACCAATGGACGACGATCCTCCGGAGAAATGCCGAAGCCGACCGCCATTACTTTGGTTTTTGATAGGTTGATGGTGAGGCCGTAGCGAGTTGCGACGTCCATGAACCGGCTGAGCGCAAGTGTGGCACCATGGTGAGTTGTAGCAATAAGTGCCGAATCGTCTGCGAATTGACAGTCACGATGGATGTTGATTGTGTCAGTCTTCTGGCGTTTGAAAAGCACACACACACACACATACACACACACATACATACACACACCCACACACATACACACACACACACACACACACACACGTGACACCCGTATGATACTACGTGATGTCGTTTGCAAAGCTTCGGGAACAAACCCTCATTGAGTCACTCGCAACGGCGCCCGGAGCATACAGCATCCACGCGGCAAATCACCTCTTCTTCCGCTTCTTGCCTCGTGATTAGCCCTTTCCCAAAGGTGCTCTTTTAATTCGCACTTAGTGCTTTTCGCGTCCCTCAAAATATGCTGAAAAAGTGCTCTTTTTTCAGTGAAAACAGGCAAAAGTGCTCTTTTTTCAGTGAAGCATAGCCATGATATATGTTCAGATATGAACCCAAGCAGAGAAATGAATACGCACTTTTCCATTTATGGGTCCACGAAAGGCAAAACAGGAAGTAAAGTGCAAAAACCCCACTTTTTACAGCATTGTGTACATCGGGCACAAGTTTCACCAACTAACCACGTGTTGCCCCCCCCCCCAAAACAAAGCGGCGTGCCAAGGCCCATCGATCACTCGGAAACTGTAATCGCATGCATGCGCAAACAGATTTTAGCACTTTTTCAGCTAAAAAAGCTCAAAAAGGGCGATATTCACCAAAAACGCAATAAAGGGCGAAAGAAACGGACTTTTCCAAAAAGGGCCAAAAAGGGCGAAACAAAGGGCGAGCACCTTTGGGAAAGGGCTACTCGTGAGCAACAAATACTGCAAAAGTTTCATGATCAGACTTTATCACTACCTTAGTATTGACTGATAGCTGTGAAAAGTATGAATGCCGCAGAAATCACCAAGCAACATGACAACTTACTTGTTCAATGTTTGAAATTGTATGTATCCAGAATGGATTTTCAAGCTCCGATCATTAGTAGAAATTGGGAACTAAAGTTATCAAGCGAAAAAACGAAGGTTTAAAAATCCTGTCTCTTTCCTTCAAAACCAGTCAATGTTTAAAAATCCAATTATTATTTATAATATATATAAAAATTCGACGAGGAGACAATAATTTTAATATGGCAATAAGTACTGAAGCGACATGTGGACTACTTTATTAACAATGTAAGCGATGGAGACGATGCAAGAAACAATCTTAAGGGTAAGGAAAATACATGTAAGAAGCAAAAGGCAATGGAAAAAAAGATGATTCGAACAAGTTTTCGTACAACACTCTTCAGGAATCACCGTTGTACTAAAGAACAAAATGAGAACAAAGGAAATAATATAGCAATCAAGGTAGGGTGACACGATACAATGACAGCACTGGAATATCGAGGTGCGATTTCTCACAAAAGCGTGCAGAACACAAGGGTATACAAGTAAGAACTAAGCGTGACAAGTGTGTATCAGCAACAAAACACCTTCTTGTTTATTATTGTTATTATTATCATTCGTTCTCACTTTTTTGTTTTTGTTGCTGATACACACTTGTCACGCTTAGTTCTTACTTGTATACCCTTGTGTTCTGCACGCTTTTGTGAGAAATCGCACCTCGATATTCCAGTGCTGTCATTGTATCGTGTCACCCTACCTTGATTGCTATATTATTTCCTTTGTTCTCATTTTGTTCTTTAGTACAACGGTGATTCCTGAAGAGTGTTGTACGAAAACTTGTTCGAATCATCTTTTTTTCCATTGCCTTTTTCTTCTTACATGTATTTTCCTTACCCTTTAGATTGTTTCTTGCATCGTCTCCATCGCTTACATTGTTAATAAAGTAGTCCACATGTCGCTTCAGCTCGTCCTACTTATTGCTATAATATATATATTAATACTCAATCTGCGGACAGCATGCTGTTTCGTTCTTTGTGAACTCATCAGCGCAGCACAGAGGAAATGAGGCCGAACCTGATAGCAATGGAAATAAAAATTTCCAATCAGGCCCGAACGTACCTTGCCAGAGTGCTCAAACTGACAAGTCAGTGAGCTCTGCGTAATGCAAACAGCAAAGGCACTACCCCACATGAGAGTGCTCAACTACTACAAGAGCAGGAGCGAAAATACTCAATCTGCGGACAGCATGCTGTTTCGTTCTTTGTGAACTCATCAGCGCAGCACAGAGGAAATGAGGCCGAACCTGATAGCAATGGAAATAAAAATTTCCAATCAGGCCCGAACGTACCTTGCCAGAGTGCTCAAACTGACAAGTCAGTGAGCTCTGCGTAATGCAAACAGCAAAGGCACTACCCCACATGAGAGTGCTCAACTACTACAAGAGCAGGAGCGAAAATACTCAATCTGCGGACAGCATGCTGTTTCGTTCTTTGTGAACTCATCAGCGCAGCACAGAGGAAATGAGGCCGAACCTGATAGCATATATTAATAATTATAATATTATTGGTTCCTGAGCCTCATCCGAAAGCATTTCCCTAAGGGCAGCAAGATGCACAAATTATTCAACAGGAACACTGTGAAGATCGCATATAGCTGCATGCCGAATATGGCCCGACTCATTAAGGCCCACAACAAGAGAGTGCTGCACCCACCAACACCGGACAAGGACTGCAACTACAGGATCAAGAACTCGTGTCCACTCGAAGGAAAGTGCCAGGCGGACAACGTCATCTACCAGGCCATGGTGTCGGACGACACCCGTAACGCCAAGGTCTATACCGGCATGTCTGCGCCGCCTTTCAAAGCTCGCTACTCCAACCATTATTTTGACTACGCTCAGGCATGATCGCTATGAGAATTCCACCGAGTTGTCAAAGCATGTTTGGTCGATGAAGCGGGACAACAGGCAGTACGTCATTGACTGGAAGATCCGCGACAGGGCCACCTCGTTCGATAACACGTCCAAGAGATGTGGCCTCTGCACTACCGAGAAGTATCACATCCTCGAAACCGACGCCCGCACTAGGCTAAACAAGCGAAATGAGATTGTGTCAAAATGCAGGCACGAAAGCAAGTATGTCCTATCAAATTTTGTGCCCATCACATAAGGACAGTGATTATTCTATGGCCTTGGTAGCGCCTCTATATCTGTTACCTGGCATGGCACCACTCTGCGCTATCACCTTTCCCTAGGCACTCTGTGCAATGCATCATGAAAAATGGGCTGGTCACACCCCGCAATATCATCACCCTCATGCATCTAGGCACTCTGTGCAATGCATCATGAAAAATGGACTTCTGACATGTCACATGACAATCGACATGGCAACAGCGAATCCTAGCGCGACTTGCCGTGCTTTGAATCAGCCACTGAAGACCTGTGAGCGCTTGCAGGTCTCCGATTTTCCAATCGGAGCACGCCCAGGCGTGCTCCGATTGAATCGGAGCACGCCTAGGCGTGCTCCGATTCAGTAGTTCGTGCAATGCATGTCAGAAATGGTATCAAAGCATTCGTACTCGGACTCAAGTGCTAGAATCGGAGCCCTCCGCGCTAGCGCGCGTCGGGCTCCGATTCCGCACTTTCGTCCTCGTACTCATGCTCGATTCCATACTTGTCGCATCCGGGACCCGACATAATGATAATTTTCACACTCCATAGTGACAGAGTTCACACCTTCTGAGTATATAACCAGTGTATCATACTTTGTTTGATCATCCATCTGATGATCCGTTGCTTGAACGGTGAAACACTGTGTAATGGAATTTGATCTCTGACGGTTTTTCCGCTTGTGTGTGATGAAGCTCTGCCTCGCTTGCATTGAGCACTCTCCGCAGTTTGAGACCATTCCCTTGTGTGTTTATTATTATTATAACACGCATTCCCGCGTTGAAGTGTAGCAGCAGTATGCTGCGTCCACAGCTTCGCTTATGCAGAATGGCTTGGGTGAGAGGAGAGGGGAGAGAAAGCAACAAGGCAACCAACATCTATGAAAAAGGTCACAATAACATGAAGAGAATCCAATTAAGTGTGACAAATGACACGTAAGTACTGTATTACAAAAGTGAGGCCTAAGGGCCGGTCACACTGAAGGAAAATTTGAAAAATCCGTGGTTACCATGGATAGTTGCCGCTGAGCGGGAGATTTGAGAGATTTAATCCACTTGATGAAAATCAGCTCGAGGCCTCGCTTTTCCGCCGAAGATTATAATCATCCGCGGCTTCCACTGGATTTCTTTGATTTTCCTTGTTTTTTATTGCGTTATGAAGTGGAGCGATACTCTAGATCTATGGAGGCTGTGCTGATGCAGCTTTGATCTGGCCCAGGAGCGGGGCTGACAGACTGCCAGAAGCGAATGGTGACAAAAACATTGCTCGCGTGAGTGAGATTTTTTTCATTGTGCGTATGAAGTGTGGCCGTGATGAAAAGCAGAAAAAAATTATTCCCGGTTTATAATCTGAGGATTCTTCCCTCACTGTGACCGGCCCCTAAGATAAAGATGGAATGTAAGTGTGATAAGTGGGCAATAAAAGTGCAGAAACAACTCATGAACAAGGGGTGTAGACTCACGAAAATAACCTAAGTGCTACAACAAAGTGCTACTAAGTGCTACAGTTGTTTGTACAGCAGCTGAAGGTCCTTGAAGCTGTTTCTAGTCGTATGCATAAACCTGATCGTTGTAAGCAAAAAGAACTTATTGTAGCACTTAGGGTGCTTTCGTCAGCCTGTCTACAGTCTACACCCCTTCTTCACGAGTTGTGTCTGCACTTTTCATGCCCATTTGCCACATTTAAATTCTATCTTTATTAGGCACCGGCGGATAACGCTCGAAAAGGTGGCAGATTCTGCTCGAAAAGCAGCGAAATTGGCAGAACCATACAAACCTTATGGTGGGCAATTCCTCGAATTCAGCTCCATTTCTTTATCCACATACCAAACATGCATGAACCTTACCAGAAAAAGTACCGAATTCTGCCAATTTTTCTGCCGGCATAATCCGCCGGTGCCTAATCTTTATCATACGCCTCAGTTTTGTAATACTTACGCGTCATTTGTCACACTTAATTGGATTTTTAAACCTTCGTTTTTTCGCTTGATAACTTTAGTTCCCTATTTCTACTGATGATCGGAGCTTGAAAATCCATTCTGGATACATACAATTTCAAACCTTGAACAGGTTGTCATGTTGCTTGGTGATGTATGCACACTTTTCTGTTTCTGCCCAGTTTGTGGCCCGTCCCTTGCGCAGTATTACTTTCAGAACGAATGCTACCAGTTCACTAGCTCGCTGACGCACGCGCAGGCGTCGTCCGTGTGCAGAGAGACGCACGGGTCCGAGTTGCTCATGCTGGAGTCGTCGCGGGAGAACCAGTACATCTCGACGTGGATCACCAGTGCAGTGGCCGGAACGTGGTTCTGGATCGGACTGTCCTCAGCAAGGTACGGTAAAACCTGTGACTAACGACCACCCACCCCTTGGGGCCAGAGAAAGCGGTCTTTAGTGGCAGGTGGTCTTTAGTTAGAGGTTTGCGCCGCACAACAATTATGTGAATGTGAGACCTTCCGTGCCTGGTGACGTGGTCTGTAGTGTAGTACAAGGCTGATCGCTAGTCACGGTGGTCTTTAGTTACAGGTGGTCTTTAGTGGCAGGTGGTCTTTAGTTACAGGTGGTCTTTAGTGGCAGGTGGTCTTTAGTTACAGGTGGTCTTTAGTTACAGGTGGTCTTTAGTTACAGGTGGTCTTTAGTTACAGGTGGTCTTTAGTTACAGGTGGTCTTTAGTTACAGGTCTTACTGTACATGCACCAGTACTGCTCTGTGTTCACTCCGATACCATGTACCACCCCTCATTGCCATAGGTAGTTGTAGGTACTTTCCCACTGCCCTAAACTGGTCACGTGGATCGGCTCAAGAGACCTTAGAGATTCGACACTTCCATAGTCACATACGCACACACACACACACACACGCGCACGCGTAAGCGCGCGCGCACACACACACACACACACACAAAGACACACACCCATACACACATACCTGTGCACACATGGACACACACAAACACATTAATACGTCCTCCATTTCCATCTCCACATCTCCACATTGAGCTCCCTGCCGCAAGCCGGAGGACTCTCATTTGTGACCGCATGTAGACGAGGTGTTTTGCTATAACAATGAAGGAAAATGGCAAGGCTGTTAAACCTCGTTTTAAAAGAACAAAACTGTGTGTAGTGGTGGTGACTGACTATAATAAGAACAAAACTGATAAGAAAAAAGAACGTTCACTTCTGGAGAGCGAACTACATGTAGAATTCAATACTCAATTGGATAGATCACTGTGTGTCGCCACTGGTATAATATTATGGATAATAGGAACTCCCGTTATTGTGAACAAATGTCATTTGTCCCTTAGTATTCCTCCTGTAGTAAAACCCGTAACTAACGACCACCCCTTGGGGCCAGAGAAAGCGGTCTTTAGTGACAGGTGGTCTTTAATTACAGGTTTTACTGTGTATGGAATAGAGTGTAAATCGAATATTTAGTATGTTCTATCCAGGGTGCGTGTATGCTGCATGTCTGATTGATTGATATTATTTGGATTCGCGAGTGTCTCCACTGTATGTTCACCTGTGCATGTGTAGCCCCAACGATCCATTCCGCTGGCAGGACGGCTCTTCGCTGGAGTACGAGAACTGGCTGGTCAACGAGCCGCTTGCTCTGAGCACGCCTCGCTGTGTGGAGATGTTCAAATCCAGTGTGGGAAACTCGGAGCAGGGCAAATGGAGAGTGTTTGATTGTCAGCACGCCAGGCCCAGCCTTTGCTCAAGGAAATTGCGTGAGTTGTGGGTAGTCACGGTGTGTATTTGTGTATAAGACCTAAAGTTGAAAAACACTATCATAAGTATTCCTTTGCTCACCATCTGAGTTCTTTAAAACTATCAGAAGTATTCACTCCGGGGTCGTACCTCCCAAGCCTCACTGTTCGGCATCACTGAAGTCGCAGCACCCACATGCCTCGATATGCTGCACTGGATTGATGCTCCCCCAGTCTTGACCGCCCTGTTACCCCGAGGGCAGATGCTAACCAGCACCGGCGCTCCACTCGCCGCCAGCAAGAGGAGCAGCATCAGCACCAACTAGCACTGACACTGCCCCCCCCCCCACCCCCTCCCACACCCCACACCCGGAGCCCGTAATAGTGCTCCCCGATCGTTCCCCCAGACCACGATCCAAGACTGCAATCGTCTCCCATCTGCCCTTCTACGCGACCTCCCCATGAAGAAGGGAATGCAGGCATTCAAGGAGGCGCCCACAAGTCTCTCCTCAGTCGAGACTGGCACTCAGCCACAGATGCGATCTTAACCCTCCCTGAATACCCTCTCCGCTTGCACCCCAGCTCCCTCCTTTCACTCGGGTACATGTATCATCTTTCCATTTTTCACCCTCTATCCAATGTACTCTCCCGCTACCTGACCCCTTGTTCTCACTCCTCCCCACCTTTTGGTGCACTGAAGTGTGGCTAAAGCCGAGACCTCAGTTCAGCGGAGATACTCCAGTTTCACCAGCACAGCTGTGACTGAAGCCACCTCTATCATGCAGTATTCTGGTCTCGAGGTTCGTGGTTTCTCGTAAAAAAAAGAGTTGACGGAATAGAAAGGGGAAAAGTCAGAAGAAAAAATTGACACTCAACACCAGAACTCGGGCCAGGGACATTCGCTTGTGGCCAGCGACGCTCTAACCACAGGGCTATGGAATATAATAATAATTATATTATTTTGACTGAGTCGCGCCTATGTCACTTGAGTATTATATTCGTCGATTCGAATGTGTTTGTGCATGCATCCGAATGTGTTTGTGCATGCATCCGAATGTGTTTGTGCGTGCATCCCAATGTGTTTTTGCATGCATCCGAATGTGTTTGTGCATGCATCCGAATGTGTTTGTGCATGCATCCGAATGTGTTTGTGCATGCATCCGAATGTGTTTGTGCATGCATCCGAATGTTTTTGTGCATGCATCCGAATGTTTTTGTGCATGCATCGGAATGTGTTTGTGCATGCATCCGAATGTGTTTGTGCATGCATCCGAATGTGTTTGTGCATGCATCCGAATGTGAGTGCATGCATCCGAATGTGTTTGTGCATGCATCCGAATGTGTTTGTGCATGCATCCGAATGTGTTTGTGCATGCATCCGAATGTGTTGTGCATGTATGCTTGTGTGTGTGTATGTATGTATGTGTGTATGTATGTGTGTGCGTATGTGCGTGCGTGCGTGTGTGTGTGCGTGTGTGTGAATGATGTGTGTTTCACAGCTGATGATGCTCTAGTCCCACTTGATGACGAGCTAGTTCCCATTCTCATTACAGAGCCACAAGTGCCAGGTAAGCATATCCGAGAGTCGCATCTTGCAACTGCGCATGAATTGCTTCTTTTGCTGGGACCGCCTTAAAAACAACGCGGTCATTGCCAGATTGGTATCGTCAGCCCTGCGTAAAGACGCCAGGGATTTGCACAGGAAAATGACAAGGCCCACCGCAATGGTAAAGGATGCGGAGTTTGCTCCTGATTCACCCAATACAGTTGTCCCTGGGGCTGGACTGAGAATATGATTGTATGCACGCATATGACATGGCATTTTGGGGCTTGTTTACGATCACCAGGTCGAAGCAGCTGCCGTGCGTTGCAAAGACCGTGGAACTTCCCCATCTGGGTTCGAGACTCGCATCGTTTCAGACACTTTGATCTCGTGTTGTCTTCTTGCACGTTTCGTCCCCTTACCCACGGCACACACAACCGACCTCTGACAACAGTTGGTCTCTAAATACAGGTGATCTCTAAAAGCAGGTTGTCTGTCAGGACAGGTAGTTTCCAAAATGAACCTTGCAACACAACACATCATGCAAGCCTATTTTCCGGACACCATTATCTGCTACCCACACGTAAAGTTTACGCGCAGGTAGCAGATAATGGCGTCGGAATGAACACACATTGGCTTTGCATAGTCGAATGTTCAGACTTTCTCTTTTGTGATCATACACTGCAGCTGGCCTTTCGAGTACCAAGTGTACATCGCATGGGATGCAATTCGCTCTACCCTTCCGCCTGGCGTCGCCGGATCGCTTCTCCACCCCGTGCCTGGCCGGCGATGTAGAGTTAGCATACTTGCGTCAGCACTGGGGCAACCAGGCTGGTGTTCCGGGCGACAGTAACGGGCCTTTGCTGGGCAAGTGCCGCTGCTCTCCACAGAGAGATGACGAGAATCAACGATGGTGGTTTGACTTCAGATATACAGATTGTGGCACTCGACTGGGCAGCCTCACGCCAGATAAAGCAAGTATTTGGCACAGTGAACTTATCTTTCATTTCACTTTGCCACTCAGCAAAAGCCCAACGTAGTCCTTGACCCTAATGTTGTGCTGCTGTTATCCACTCGACAATAATTGCATCTGGCGCAAATTCCGTATTTTGATCAATATAATTATACCCCCACCCACCCTCGGCCCATGAAGGCGCTTAGCACCTACATTTGACTGCTGTTGGCCGCATTAATCTGTGAATGAGGTAGTGAATGAGATAGTTCCGCTGGCATGTTGAGTACGGCAAATTTCTGTAAATCTCGTCTCTCTCTCTCTCTCCTCTATTTTCTCATGCAGATTTCGTACCTGAACACTATCTTTGCCGGTGAGTTGTCACCATTCGAAATTGACCAGTTGGCCAGTGGGTACTTGGACTCAAATCACTCTGGCTACGACCCTGAGAGCTCCATCCTGCGCCTCGCGTTGCGCTGCGACTTCAACAGCATCATACGTGTTCAGAGCTTCGGCTACTTGGTGGACATCTACACGGCGACAGAGTTCAATATATCGGGCGTGGGTGTTTTCCAACTGCAGTCATCCTTCTTGGACCAGGTTAGCACCATCCAATGCCAATGCCAAAATGGTGTTACGTGACTGTATACGGTTATTGCACAGTCTGACACATGTGTGTGCCAGGGTGTGAGAAGGGTGGGGGGCACTACGATAATGTTCTTCTAGCACACCAGCTTTCATGGACCCGCGATAAGCAGAAGACGCATGCCATGCGAGTGGGTTTTTGAGTATTGTTACTTGTTATAAGTACAGTCGTCCCTCTCTAATCCGGCACTTGTTTATCCAGCACCCTTGCAAACCAGCACACTTTCAGGCAAAACGGATTTTTTCAGTTCATTTTCTACGCTTTAATCCGGCACTTGAATTCTGCCTCCGGCAGCAATTTTCTGCAACAAATCACTCAAACTGTACTTGATTTTCTAATCCAGCAGTTGTACATCGCATACCGTACCAGTGCCAATATCCTATGCCAGTGCATAGGATATTCCCAAGTGTATGTTATAGACATGGCATGTTACAGACATGCATTCCACAAACTTGTGACAAAGTACTTGGATTGACACAGAAAATCCCTACATTTTGACGTACGACACAAACATGTACGTTACTAGGTGAGCGGAGTTGGAGGGCAGGATTTGATAATCCAGCACCCTTGTTTATCCGGCAGAAAATGCCGTTGCAAAAGGTGCCGGATTAGAGAGGGACGACTGTATAACATACACATATACTATAACCTAGCCAGTTGATTATATCAAGAGACAAGAGTACATAACCCCCCAGAGTGTGCAGCGCTTGATCCAGCTCTGCATCGGTCTTGGTCGAGCGTAATCAGATCTTTCCATACACATCTGAGGGGAACCCGTGGAGTCGCGGGTACTCTAGGATCAAAAACAGTGGTGCCCTGCCTCGAGACCAGTCTTGCGCTGGTGTGGAGTGTACGCATGACATCAGAAGATCCGAATACGCCTGACCGAGACCCTATGCAGAGTTGGAGCAGGTGTTGCACACTCTGGGGGGGGGGGGGGGGGGTATGTACTCTTGATTATAAACCGAGGCGAAGCCGAGATTTATATAAAGGTTTTATTTCCCATAATTATAATCAACTGGTTAGGTTATATTATGCTTATACTGAGCTGAATGCAAACTCCCCTCTCCCCCACAAAAGTAGAGATTGGAGTTCCAATCCACAACCGTGGCTCGACGAATCTTTCTTTCACCAACCTGTGCGGAGAAAGCACAAGACATTCATGGCGTATCGGATCGTGTACATCCAGTAACACGGGAATGATTATTGTACTCATATTGAGAGGTGTGGAGCATAGAATACTCTTGTGCAGGCAAAGCACACCTCACTCAAGTGCATGCAGCGCATCCTGCACAATACCTTGTCACTTCTGTTGACCGCATGCACATTCTTCAGAGCACACTTCAACCCTGTTGGCAGTGTTGCAGTCAACCCTGCCAGCCAATATGGCACTTTTGGCTAGTTTTGGTCGCTGTTTGCAGGTCCAATATGGCACTTGGTACACTAAAGGTTGGTCGCTGGTCGCGCAAGGCAGGTAGTTGCTGTATCCGGTGGAGTTTCTGTGTAGAACTGTCCCTGCATGGAAAACAGTCATTAAGAGCAGGTGGTCGCTCAAACCAGGTTTTAATCTACAGCTTCAGTCCACAAGCAGATTTCCAATCAGGGAATATGGCTAGTGTGAGTTATAGCTGGGCTATAATAATTACTGTCCAATAATAATTGGTTGGACTTCGAGCACCTGGGTCTACCCGAGGTACTTGTATTCCAAACGTGCTTTGATATTTCCCTACTGACGAGTTGGAAATGCAATAAACGCTTTGATATGGTAGAAAGAGTACCGTAGAATGCACTTGTGCCCAGAGCAATCATTTCCACTCTCGGCATATCTATCAGACTCCATTTGTTATTTCGTAAAGGCCAGGGTGTGTTCAAGTAGGAGCAACGTCTAGGTGGCTTTTATTCAAATCAGGTATTTTGATGTATATCAACACCAAAACTAGGCTTATGTGCCGACAGTGCGTCTCGAAAATCGGGTGTGATTTGGGATTGCTTGTGACAAGGTAGTGAAGCAAGTGGTGCATTAAAGTTGGTTAAACTAAAAGCAAAACTGTGCTAAAGCAGATCCACATTTCCTATTACCCGTGCTTATTGTGGAGAACCAGGAACTGCCGGGGCTGCCGTCTGCGCCCTCTGAGTCGCCGTCGGAGCTGGAAACCTTCAACGTCGGCAGGCCAGTGACATTCGAGTTGGAGCTGCTCACCACGCACGCTCTGGACCTTCGGCCACTGAGGTGCTGGCTTAATACAGGCGAGCCCACCAAGACACCTCGCCTGGTATTCATCGACGACGGGTAAGCTAGTCAAGATTCTATTTTTTTTATCCATTGATTATGTTGTTCAGAACAACGAAACGTCTGTAGAAGTATCGTAAATATTTCTATCTATATTTATCAAATATACCACTCTTTGACCTAGAAAGATTACTTTTTTGATATTACAATGAGAGTGGATAAACAGCGGCTTGTCCACCATCTCTCTAGTAAAGATGCTTGCCTCTTATGATGTATGCGTGTCGTCGGCAGTCCGTGGAGCACTGGAACTGTTCATCAGTGATTCGGTGCATATCGGTATAATAAGAGATGTGTGACTGTACAGACGGGGTGGTGTGTATTGAGAGGAGCTAGTGCGTTGGTACTATGAGACCTCAATTAACTCTTTAATTAAACGGGAACATAAATGAAGCCTTTCTTCAGTTGATTTGTAGTGTTGGGGTTGCCGATTGCTAGGATCAGATTTCTATGCTTCTGAGGTGGCTGTGAGTGAGTCAAAACTAAAAGGAACGTTCAAAAAATGTGATGACCCCAGAATCACATCACACTTCACCTGCCCTGCACATTATATCCCTGTGGTCACAATTGAAAAAAAAGCAGCTGGGCTTGTGTTGGCGCGAAGCAGTGCGATTGCACATGAACATGCATACATGTACATAGCGACTGCTAATGTTTCGGTGAATTGCATGCTTTGCGTGTAGGACCCGTTGGCATGCAAAGGCTTTGCATTTTCAGAGGACCTCGTGGCAACACACCATAATGGTGCTACAAAAATTTGGTAAGAAACTTCCACTGCACCATGGCTTAGTGGTAGAGCATCGCTGGCCATAGTTCGTGTTAGGGGATGGTCCCTGGTTCGAGTCCTGGTGGTGACCATGGCTTAGTGCCCTGTGGTAGAGCATAAGAGCATAAGCGAGGGTCCCTGGTTCGAGGCCTTCTGGTGAAAGTTTTTTTTCAGTTTCTTCCAACTCCCTAGTTTAAACCTATGAAAACTTTCCCTTCCTTATTGATATGGTCCTTGGAGGCCGTTTTCTATTCTCATACGTCTCTTCTTGTGTCCACACGATGCCTATGTACTTCACAGGTGTCCAGTGCGCGAGTCCGTGACGGTTGGCGTGACACACTGGCGCAACCAGACTAGCCGCTACCAACGCTTGTCGTACCTGGCAGTTGCATTCGTCAACCAGATCGACGATACTTACCGCATGCATTGCACCTATCAAGTCTGTGCACCCGGCAACAATCAGGTACGTATGCATTTGAGAAGTTCAGTGCTGTGCTGCTCGGTAAAATCCCATCAAGGCAACCAGTGTCCTACCTCACAACCGTTGACTCATTTCGCTAACAAAATGCCCGTGCGTTGTGCTTGAACATCGGCCCGGCCTGTACCACACAACTCTATTCCATGCAGACTTGCATGTAAGACGGTATTCCAGAGCCAGACTGAAAGGGTTAGAGTGCTCGTGCATCATAACAGCTTATCAGTGTCACCACACACCCCTCTCCCCCCCCCCCCTGATGGTAAGAAACAAACACACGAGCAGTATCAAATATAATTTATCCAAGCGCAGCTTAGTCATGTGAACCATGGTACTAATTCAGGGTTCTAGACAGGTCAAAGCACATGTACTAGGGGGGGGGGGGGGGGGGGGGGGCAGGTACCCTGAAACCCATTTTCCTTTTCCAAAATCGTCTTGCCATGCCACATGCAAGGTACGGGACGAACCCTGACTTCACGCCAGACAAATGTGCCTTTATGAACCCTCCAGTAGTGACTATCGGCTGTATTTCCGTTGAATGGCCTGAAAAAGCGTAAGAATCGACAAACGAGTATGGGGCACAACGTTTTGACAGGGGGGGGGGGGGGGCTCAATCAGAGTAGAAGGGCGCTGCACCCCTAGTCCGCAGGAACCCTCTGATTGAAGTACTTGCAGTTATGTAAATAGTGTGAACATGCATGCCGGCACAATGTTAAAACACAGTGATCAACTAGCATCCCATTGCGCACAACAACAAATTTCAAGTGCCTGAAGTGGGGCCTAGAGGCAGGTGGTCTCCAAGGATGAGTGGTGTCTAGAGACAGCTGCCCTCTCACGACAGGTGACCTGTCTCTACAGTACAGACAGGTGGTCTCAAAATGCAAGCGGTCTGGAGATACAGGTCGTACTTTAGCACATGTACGTCATGCGCCTCTGGCTTAGCTGTCTGTTTTGCGTTTTGCTCTGATAGCCATGTCAGAGAACTTGCCCAACTGTTGCCTCAACTTCGAGTCCCAGCGTCGGCCGGAGGAAACGTCAGGCGTCGTTTGATGAAGACGAGGCCTTGCTGACAGTAACCTCGGTACCATTCCGATTCTTCAGAGCCACCAGTTCTGAAGGTGAGCCATGTCTCATGGACAGCTTCACTCACTGAGATCTACCCCCCCCCCCCCCAAGTGGCAAAAATGGCACCGGGATCAGGTACTGATTACCGGTACACCGCTGTATTTTATATTATAGAAGCCAGGGAGTCTTCAAATACTGTATTTGACGACTCCCCGGTAGAAGCCTTGCTTGATAGTTTAACATGTTGTCGATTTCGACAGCACTGTGCGCCCTCGCCTTGTAACATGCTGTCGAAATCGAACACCGCTGTATTTGTACGCATATACGTTCAGCCGCCTTCACACCACCTCAGTTCCAAGGCATCAAGGGCGTGCAAGTTGCGGACGCCAAATATGCACTTTGGGACGGATTTCATTGAGCACAACTATGTTTCTGTTTCGACGTCTACTGTTGCATTAGCATAGTATCGTGATCTTTTTCACTTGAAGGCTTCTCCAGAGGCAAGTACTAGTAGATGCCTACTGACTAGTCTAAAGGTTTGTTATACAAATTTTAGCAGTTGCAAGAAAGAGCACAAAGACATGTGTGCGAGGGTATGCCAAACTTGTATGATCATTTTTTGTTCAAATAATTAGCCACCTCCCCAGGTTTGATTCACTTTCTACAATTCATACATATGTTGTCTTTGAACCTTTTGAACCTACTAGGATCGTACTTCTAATCAGACAAAAGCCAATCTGTATATGACCCAATGCCTGCTTCTGTTACGGTATGCCATACACCTGTTGAAAGAAGTGTGTTTTAATATGCATGGGGAAGAGCTGAATCCCTGGCAGCCTGCGGGGACTGAGAAGAGGGCACAGTCCGCGGAAGTTACGTTTTTAGTGTGCAACATGCTGCCTTCATACGTCACTGGCTTGCATCACACCCTGAACTGAAGCCAGGTACTAAGCTCGCAGTCTCTCTTTCAAGCACAACTGCTTTTGCTCGATGTGTCTGAGTTCCCAAGCGAATTGTAGGTCTGCCAAAATTCGCTTCCACCCACAGGGTAACTGTAGTAGCCCTGTGGTGTTTGATGTTCCTCGGTTCTGTGGATGTACAGTGCTGGAAACTGAAATCCGACCCCCTGAGCGGTGCGCTCACATTCTAGCGGTCTCTGTTTCGTAGTTTTACCATCCCGTTTTGGGTCTTTGCGACGTGACCACACCTCTCAGGGGTCGGATTTCAGTTGCCAGCACTGTACTTGGCATAGCTGCATGGTGTGATAGAGGCAGTGAGCTGGGCACATGGCCCATAGAACAGAGAAAACTGTTTCACGACGGTGGATTTGAACGCCTGATTGTATAATTATTGAAGCTCCCTAGATATAAGAGACAGCTAGCTGGCTCGGCCTTGTTGGCTGTCATCAGTGGAGTTCAGAGTGACTGGCCAAAGCGATCGGATTAATGTCTAGTGCAACATGCAGCATTCTCTTAAAAACAATCATCGCAAAGCACGAACGCCAGACATGGGGTGGTATGTTGTAAATCTGCTAATGAATGCATGTTTGCAATTATAGTGAGCCAGCATAGTGCTTAGTCCACATCTGTGCTCATATCAGATGTCATGCATGAGGGATGGAGTTGCATGCATGAGGGAGATATTGAAATAAGCAAACAATGGACCATAGTGGCTGTGGATCTGCAGCAATAATAATATTATTTTAAAAGCATGATTGTGTACTTAGCTCTTGGCATTCACAGCATTCTTTCTCACTGCTACACGTAGCATATTTACTAGGCTGTTCTGTTTGTTGTATTGTCTCGTCACTGCAGCTACTGAGAGTATTCCTGTTACTGAGAGTACTTCTGGTACTGAGAGTATCCTTCCACCTCAACATGATGGTAAGAAATGAACTGGGTTTGCCTTGTATCAATCTCGGTTATCTGTAATCTCATTTTATTTAGGCTCGTGCACAAGTGTGGCCCGCGACAGCTGTCATAAACAAACCCGTACCCTGTCCCAACCGAATAAAGATGTTTGGCATGTACAGTAAAACCTGGTTTAAGCGACCACCCCACGGTGCAAGCAAAAGCGGTCGTAAAAGCCAGGTGGTCTTTAGAACCAGGTCCCACAGTGTCTGTGTAGAACTGTCCGTGCATAGAAAACGGTCGTTACCAGCAGGTGGTCGTTAAACACAGAGGTCGCTTACACGAGGTTTCACTGTATGGTGCAGGTACAGGTAGGTGCAGGTGCAAATTACACTCATACCTTGGTTATCCGGTCCCCGAAGTTACGGGCACTTCGATTTACCGGGCACCCTTTGGACGAGTTTCAGTGGAAATATTACTACTCTTTTGTCATTATTTTTTTGAAATAGTGACGCCGGTTATAACTTACAAGCCATAATATATGCGTAAATCCGAATCACATACATACATATAATATTATATGCTCTTGTAGCAGTTGAGCACTCTTGCGTGGGGTAGTGCCTTTGCTGTTTGCGTTATGCAGAGCTCACTGACTTGTCAGTTTGAGCACTCTGGCAAGGTACGTTCGGGCCTGATTGGAAATTTTTATTTCCATTGCTATCAGGTTCGGTGATGGATGGCGGTTTGAACTACCGTCAGCTCCTGCCTTTTGGCAGGAGTAGCTGTTCCCTAGGACAATTTGGAGCCACGCATACTGGCAGTGATTAGATGAGAGGTCATAATGAAGCAGTTGAGTCCGTATTCCAGAAGCGTCGTCGTACGCCGTCATGTAGAGTTGCGACTTTCAACGTCCGTTCACTAAAATCAAAAATCAAAAAACAAACTCTCGCCGAAGATTTCGAGGCCTACAAGCTCGACATCCTTGGGATTACGGAGACCTGGATAGCCGACAATGGAGTTGATACCCTCGGCGATGGCCACAAGCTGTATAGGTCCGGAGGTCAATCGTCTCGCGCTGGCGTTGCCATCCTCGTCAACAAGAAATTTTCAAATAATGTTCTGTCGTATCAGTTCCACTCTGACCGAGTTGTATCTGTACGAATGGTACTCAGCCCGCGACCTGACAGTCGAGCTGTCACGGTCGTGTGCTGCTATGCCCCAACTCTTCAACGATCCACCATCAACCCTCAGGAAGCTGACAACTTCTACGAACTTCTCAACAATGTTGTATTGAAAACGAAGAACCGTGACGAATTATGGATATTAGGAGATTTGAATGCTAAAGTTGGGAGTTCGAGGCCGGGATCTGTCAGCCCTGTTGGATGCTACTCTAAACACACTATATCAAACTCAAATGGATGCAGACTTGTAGAATTTTGCGAGGACAACCGGCTGGTGCTAACCAACACACTGTTCAAGCACAGGATGCAACATCGCTCAACATGGTTTTCTGATGGTTTAGTGCATGCGGATGGAAAGCCTGTGCGGAATATGATAGATTACGTGATAGTAAAACGTTCCACCATGGCCGCGGTTCTAGATGCAAGATCGTTTGGAGGCTTCACCACGCGCTCTGATCATCACCCTGTTATTGCAGTTCTTGGCATCGCACTTTCTAAAGTCCATCCGACCGTCAAACAACAAGACCCATGTTTCAATCGCTATAACCGTCCAACCGCTGAATCGTCGAAACTGTTCTGCGACCGTCTCAAGGAGAAGTTACCTTCTCTGCTTCCACTCTCCGCAAACATCGACAATGCCTCCGTGGATAAGGCATGGCGTGGATTCGTCTGGGCTACGCATGATGCAGCGCAGGAAGCATTCGGGAAAGTGCCCACTGGTTCTGCTCCGAAAGCAAGCACGAACCCTCGCGTTGCATCCTTATCCACTGAACAGAAGAATCTGCACTGCCGCATAAACGCTGAACCTGATCCAGAGCAACGTAAAGCTTTAAAGATTGAAAGATCTGCAAAACTCCACGAGATTCGAAGGATACTACAGAAGGAGGGCGAGCAATATTGGCAACGTAAGGCTGTTGAAGTAGATGCTTTACGCCCTGACCCACGGTCCTACTTCAACGCCATCAACAACTTACGCCAACTACGCTCTGGGAAGAAGGCTGCGCCTGTGCGTCTTGCTGACGCAGACGGCAGAATCATGGCAGACATCTCATGGAATCTTAATGCCTTTAATGAATATTATGAATCGGTATTTTACACTGATGGCCAGCCACTCGACCTCAGGCAGCAATCGAATGAGGAAGATCCATTCACAATCGAAGAAGTACGGTCTGCAATTATCAAGCAGAAGTCTGGTGGTGCTGTCGGTCCTGATGGTATCAGTGCTGATGCTTTGAAGTCAGCTAAAAACCTTTTCGCACCCTGGCTGACGAATTTCTTCAACGCTGTTCAAGCTACAGAGTACTGTCCTGACGACATGCGCTGCGGCCTCATCGTTCCCATCTACAAAGCCGGCAAGCCTCTAGGACATCCAAAAAGCTACCGCCCCGTTATGCTCCTTTCCGTCGTCCGTAAGATCTTGACGTCAATACTCACTCGACGACACACACTCCATGTGCAGTCATATGTGGCAGAGAGCCAAGCTGGTTTCCGCCCTGGCAGATCGACCACGGATGGTGTCTTTTACGCCAGGACGATGTGTGAGCGCGCACTACTTGGCGACTGGTCATATTCATCGGCACTATTGGACTTCAGCGGTGCATTTGACACTGTCATTCGTCAGGTTGCTCTGGAGAGGTTAGCCACTGCTGGCGCACCAACGTCCACCACTGCAGTCCTAGTATCAAACACAACAGCTCGCACGAAGCTTGGTAAACAACTAAGCAAACCATTTCCAACAAACATCGGCGTCGTCCAGGGTGACCCAATGTCACCAATAATGTTTATAACTTACGCCGAAGGTTCCATGCGTAAGATCCGAGAGCAAGCTCTACCCGCGTCAGACCTACCAGCAACTTTCACACAATACGCAGACGACACCACTGCCCATCAGAACGAGCGATCATCTGTGGAAGAAACCGTCCGTGTGTGTGAACCCGTTTTCTCGGATGACAATCTGAAGCTGAACGTGGCAAAAACTCAATATTTCACTGTGACCAAGGAAGATGATTCCTGGAAATCGGTGAAGCTGCTGGGGAGTATGCTAGGCACAGCAGAAGACATAGCAGCCAGAGTGTCTGCTGCAAATCGGGCATTTGCAGGCATTCCATGGAAACGCCACAACCTGAATTCCAGGCTGTGTATGTTTTCCTGCCTGATATTGCCTGTCTTGCTGTATAATTGTGCGCTTTGGACCTTATCGCAAACTTTAACCGACGTCGTCAATGTATGGCACCGGAAGAAACTACGTACCATCATTGGTATCACGTACCCACAACGAATCTCGAACACAGCGCTGTATGCCAGAACCGAGCAGACCCCACTATCCCAAGTCTGCAGGCAACGGAGACTGCTGTGGTTCGGCCATGTAGTGAGGGAAGGCGAAGAATCGTCCTCTTTCCAAGCCCTCCTGATGTCGATCAACACAACAGACATACGACGACCCCGAGGACGACCACGTCTGAGATGGATCGACGTTGTCAAGAAAGACTTACAATGCATTAATCTGTCGCTTCTGGATGCTGTGCAATCTGCTTCTGATAGAGCTGCTTGGCTCGAAATTGTTAACAGATGCGTTGACCTCATGCAATGAGTGAAATGCGAACTGTCATTATTATTATTATTATTATTATTATCAGGTTCGGCCTCATTTCCTCTGTGCTGCGCTGACGAGTCCACAAAGGACGAAACAGTTCTGTCCGCAGATTGAGTATTTCGCTCCTGCTCTTGTAGCAGTTGAGCACTCTTGCGTGGGGTAGTGCCTTTGCTGTTTGCGTTATGCAGAGCTCACTGACTTGTCAGTTTGAGCACTCTGGCAAGGTACGTTCGGGCCTGATTGGAAATTTTTATTTCCATTGCTATCAGGTTCGGCCTCATTTCCTCTGTGCTGCGCTGACGAGTCCACAAAGGACGAAACAGTTCTGTCCGCAGATTGAGTACATATAATATTATGTACATGTACATTTTGCTGGGGAAAGGCTATACATGTAATATCAAAATGTATGTGATTCGGGTTTATGGAGATTTTGAAGTTACCGGCAGTGCCCGGTCTCGAACCGCTCGGATAAACGAGGTATGAGTGTAGATCCATTTTTTCCTGCTGATGAAAGCAATAATAATCCCCTCAGCTGTGTATAGTGTCTGGGTAACTAAGCGAAACTCTTCCTTCAGCCCCGGTATGTCCTGAGTGAAATGACCTGAATTTCAAGGTGTCCATTCACCACAGGGTCATCTTTGCAAGGTCCCCTCGATTGAATCTCATTCTCGCTCCTCGTTGCTTTCTTCCTCCTGCACAGACTCGGCAGGTTCAACACCACACTCAAGCCTCCACATTGCTACCATCATCTTGGTCAGCATCATCAGCATTCTCTCACCAATGCATCTGGCCTGAACACATGGCGTCTGTCAGAGCCAATACCGGACACTCGTACCCTCTCCTCGTAGGCTGGTGCAGTACTAATTTCAACACGGCCAGAACAGCGCTGGTCTTCGTACATTTGATATACACCTGGGCTATGATTGCTGGATTTTCCGAGTGTTAGCGGCGGCGTGCGTGCCCTCGGGAACGCAGACCATGATTTACTCTCTTTTTAGGTTAGTGCAAGCTGTACGTGCATGCATGTATTGTATTGGTCAAGAAGCTAGAACACCAAGTAAAACTATTACATACTCTGCTGTCTCCAACGCACCTATAGAATCCAAATACAGCAGCCTTGTTTTTCTTGCCCGGAATATTTTTCTGTAACGGCAGTATCCTTTGCGAAAAATGCCTCCCTGAAAGCCGCAAAACAAAGGTTAGTCACGGTTTGTTCATTTTCTCTTCTACTTCTTCCCACACCCTCACTTTGCGGTATCATTAATCCTGGCACAAGCTTCCTCTGTCTGGAGCACTTGCTTTGCCTGTTGACATTACCAGGGAGAGAGGGGGGGGGGGGGTAAAAACCAATTTTGCATGTGGTTTTTTTTAAGTGGATGTACCACCTCTCCCAGGCCTGCTGTAGTATGACCCAAAAAACAGGGCCGACCCTGGAAAACATGAGTTCACATAATTCAGACCCACAACTAATTTCACAGGTCAGATTACAACAACAACAGGGAGGGCCAACGTCCTGCTGTGTGTACAGTGGTCTCTGGATGCCTGTAATCCATTAACTTTTGTTGACATGTGTATTAGCTAGCGTCAGCAGTACACATCGTCATTCTAATATTCGCTAGTTGAGGGAATGGAGCCTGAATAGGAATAAGTGGGAAGAAAAAATCATTCATTCATCATCATTCCAGTTTGTATTTTCCTCAAAAAATCCTCGGTCAGAACGACCAGTCAAAGATCCAATCATGCACTGGTGATCGGAGTAGCAGCGGCTACACATGGAAATCCGGTCGAATGACTGGGGCCTGCAACGGTGGACATGTTGATCGTATGCGAACCCACGACTGCATGGCCAGCGCACTGGGGCCGCTTGACCTCCGACTGGATTTCCACGTCCACGACGGTACAAGGAGTGCGATGGCCGTTAAGTCATCAACATAGCCCTGAAACGCAGTCGTAGCTGAGATAATTTAAGCTTCTACACCACATTCAAACCCTACACTGTGAAGCAGCACAGGCTCTAAAGTAGCAAATGGTTTCCACAAGGAATGAATGCTCTGCTTACACCGCACTGATACACACAGTAGCAGGGGCTATATCCACGAGGATTAACTGTTACCATACTGTAAAGCGTGAAATTTTCGCGGCGCTTTTAGTTCGCGTTTTCAGAATCCGGACAGGTTTGCGAGGTTTTAATTTTGCGATTGCAGAATGGCATTCTTGCTAAACACGTGGCATTCTTGCTAAACCTTTCATGGATCTCCTTTTCGCGCTGTCTAAATTTCGCGATTTCCACGCGGTCGCGAATTTTTCGCAGAAATTAGACCATGGCAATAATTTCACCCTTTACAGTAGCCATTGAGGCATCAGCATTGCACCGAAGCTCGGTCGTATCAGGGGCCTTCCAGGAGAAGTGCAATTACATGTACCGTCAATACATCCACGTCACACTCAAAGCCGGTAGCAGCAAAGGCTGGCGCCGAGGAGTGCTGCAATGGCCTCCGAATTACCGGCTTCCACCGCACTGAAACACAGTCGGAGCAGACGTTATGCGGGAGAAGGGCAATGCCAGTCTAACACTCAATCTTGACAACAGAAGGGGCCGACTATGCGGAGTGCATTGCCCGTTGAAGCATCTCCGTTTCAGTAACAGACAGCCTAACTGTCAGCAGATCCTATCCTCAATTAGTGCTACTCTTCACTGAAACACAGTCGTAACTGGTAGAGGGGGCTATCCATGAGGAGTGCAGTACTGCCAGTAGCCGTCGAGGATCTACATTGAACTTAAACACAGTCGTAGCAAGGAATAGCCAAGAAGGGTGCAATGGCTGTCGAAGCATCTACACTACACTTGAATACAGTAGATAGCAGGGGCTATGAAGAGCATCCAGGACAGTTGGCCATTGAAGCACCTTGCACTCGTACACAGTATCCCCAACCTGTCCGTCTCTGTCTCTTGGCCTACTCCTCTCGCTTGACCTTGGCTATACAGCATCCAGGAGACAGGACATGCAAAAGCATCAGCCTTGCACTCAAGCCCAGTATCACAGTACCACCCATTGTCTCTTGTCCTTCTCCGCTTGCTTGACCTTCATGCGTCGCTGGCAGAACGCCGCTATGCGATCCATGGCCTCGGAGATGAGAGTTTCCGGTGCCAGCAAGACAATACGCAAGTAGTTGGGATACTTGAAAATCTGAGAGAGAAGGAGAGAATACAACACAAAAGAGCAGCACTGGCTAGAATATCCTGTAATCTTTTCACCGAACATGCTTGTTCGGTTCACAGAGCCTATGCAAGGAGAAATGTTGCCTGGTGTCGGCTGTGGTGCTAGTAAGCTCACATACACCAACAACTAGGGCTGCAATGCGTAGGGGTTTAGTAGGGTAACGAGTTCAGGTATTTCTATCCGGGTAGCACGGGTACCCTATTGGGTATTCTTTGACATAGTTTGCACAGTGAGTGTACAATTGCGCCACATAGAAAGTGTACAGTAAGCACGTAGCCGTGCTTTTTGCATGCGCCGATGCGAAAGCACCGTACTCCCACTACCGGATCAGGTTCGCCACCCGAATACGTGCTCTAATCACGGGTAACATGGGTACCCTACTACTGGGGATTCCCGCTTTCGTTGCCCACAGGACAATTTTTCACAGAACCCCAGAACACCATAGTACCGAGTTTCGTTTCCAACAAAGTTAAATGCCACGCTCATGATCAGTTTTCAACCTCAGATCCGCACTATAATATTCAGGGTGACAACACCGATGCTACACTCACATAGCCAGGGAGAATGAACACCGATTCCTCGCTCATCAGCTCCTGAGCAAACTGCAGATCATCAGCAATGCCATCCAGCTGGTCCACCTTGATGCCAAACTGGAGAGGAGAAACGAAAGTCAGCCATCAGGAAACACCCATGTAGCATGGCTAGGGAAGGGAAAGCAAATCCATTGAATGAAATCCCCGGGAACATTCACGTGCACTCAGCCACACAGTCCAAAGGTTTAAAAGTAAGTTCAGCAGTTAGACAGAAAATGCAAGAAAGAACAGTAATATTACTTGGTCCGCCCAGTTAAAATTGGCGCTTATCTTCTCACTTGGTTTTTTGGTATTCTGCCTGTGCCACACGGCATGGAACCACCGATTCACCATCCGAACCTAACCATTGACCATTGCATCCGACGACATGGCAGCACAAACCATCACAGAAGTTGCGATCAGTTCGTTTGAGTCTTTTTGACGGAGCTGCCGCCGACGAACACTTCCGTCAGCGCAAGAACACACTGCAACCTCCGCTCGAGTCCGTAAAATGGGTCAGGATGTTCGCATTTTAAAGCGATGGAGAATACAGTTTCTGTCTACTTCCAGCTGTCTGATGGCAAGGATTGTTTACCCCGGGGAGGTATAGAAAAGCTAAAAAAGCGCTTCGCGAGCTTGAATTTCAGTGCTTGCACAGTACAGCGCCTAGTGAAGTGCTATCACCAGCAAATCGCTGACGAAGAAACTGCAGCTCGTGTCGATATGTCCAGTAAGTGAGACCAATCCGGCGGACACACTTTGAAGCTCACAGAGGACAGGGCAAAGGAGCTAATCAAAGAAAACGCCAAGTCCTGAGAGAAACACTCGTGCAAAGGACTTCCAGGAAACTAGCCGAAAAGCTTGGTGCACGGCGTGGTAGGTGCAGTACGCACAGGTGCTACATCAAGCGGAAGCTATCACTGCGCTGCATGTAGATCTTCAAGCACCAGCGGCTCGCGTGGGTACGGGTGCTGATCAGCAAGTACGACAAGCGCAAGAGGCGCAAGATTTGAAAAAAGGACACTGATTATGGTGTTGCCTTTTTGTCTCAAACAAAGACGCATTATTGCGACGAACGGGGATAACACTTACAGTCAACATGCGGGCAGTCTCACTCAGCTTCTGATGGGAAGGTGACAGGCACGCACTGCCTTTGAGCGTGATTCGAGACGAAGAGAAGTGGAACAAGCCATGACACGACCCGTGCAGCAGCTGTCCGGATCGTACGTTTTGAGCTCTTCCTCCAGCGACGATAGTGGCGAGGAGGATGTGTAACTTGCTTGAATTTTCGACTGAGTTGCTTACTGACATGTAAATAATCATGTATATAGTGCTTTGTGATCGTGGCTTGCTCCAAATATTCGTATTTCTTTCCTGAGACAAGTGTGAAGATAAGCGCCAATTTTAACTGGGCGGACCAAGTATCAGCATGCATCCTGGTCCTCCACTCGACTGGGCAGCATGAGAATCTAAAGCCAAGCCCTGGCTGAACAACCACACGGTTGATTCAAACAAGAGCATCGACAGAAGAAACACTTGCTACTGTAAAGCGTGAAATTTTTGCGGCGTTTTCAGTTCGCGTTTTCAGAATCCAGACAGGTTTGCGAGGTTTTAATTTTGCGATTGCAGAATGGCATTCTTGCTAAACCTTTCATGGATCTCCTTTCGCGCTGTCTGAATTTCGCGATTTCCACGCGGTCGCGAAATTCGCAGAAATTAGACCATTGCAATAATTTCACGGTTCACAGTATATCCGTCTACAAGCGTGACAACCACGTGGCATCGGATACGTGTGAACTGCAACAACCTGGCCAGTAATTGTACACCAAGGTCACACACAGGCAAGCAAATGTTTATTTTGCTCGCACAAGAGGCTTGAGCACACTGGGGAAAAAAGCAAAGAAATGTCCGAAGCGCAAACTTTAGTACCATGGCTAGAACCATCCTGCGAGCCACAGCACCACACTGCAATCCATAACGTCACACTGCAAACCCTTGCCCTTTCACCCCCGTACGATAAAATTAATGTTGACCTTTGGTTAGTTGACACTTTGGTACATTCGGACGATTTTGGTACATTCGGACGTGACTCTGGTTTCAATACCACACAGTGTACTTCATACCTGCCAAGTATCCAGATTTTTTCGGAATTATCCCCCAATTTTGGATGAACTCCCGCGATGCCGAAATTCATGTCGATTATCCCGAAATTCACTATACAAGAAACAAGCTTGATATTGTACTTGGAGCACTTCAAATGACTTGTTACAGGCCAGTAGTTGTCCTTATTGATTCCGGACCGCCATAGCCTGCAGTACCAGTGGGTCTACTACTACTACTACTACTACTAGCGCTCCTTCCATGAGCAGTCTCTGAAAAACCTCCGTTTTTGAGTCTTCAACATGCGTAAGTGTGATCCGATGATCACCATCAATCATCCATTATCGAAATGTTGGTGCCATCAAGAGTTGAAAAAGGTTGTTTTGGAAAAAAGATGACATGTCCCGGAAATCCAAGGCAAATCCCACGATTTTGCCATGGCGATCCAGAAAAAGCACTCTCAGTACTTGGCAGGTATGGTACTTCCCCAGAGTGTACATTAGGAGCACAAGTGACTGTGAGGAGATATGTTCACGTGCACCAGATAGGCAAGCGTCTATGGACACTACTAGATGTGCTAATGGCATCACTGTGTAGTCCTTATACCCGTATGTCCGCACCTTTTAAAAAAAGCCATGGAGGTGTATTTGATTATAAAGTCAGGCTCACTTATAAAGCTATGGGCTTCGTAAATGAAATGACATTTGAAGAATTGTAGAAAATGAAGGAATAAGTACCAGACTAACAAACGTACAGCCCAGCAGGAAGGGTGAACAAATGGATTTAGAATGATTGAAATTTCTGTGTAGACTTTGACTTTTATGGCATGGCATAGTGGGTGGGTCATTTTGCATCTAAAATAGCTAGGAAAGCAGCGGTGTTTCGAATATTAGGCCATGGCTTTAAAGGCACTGACATACGGTAAGGAGTACCAGGTGGGTGTTTGTGATGCCACTCAATATAAAAGCCATCAGATAGTGATGGAATTGTATAACTCTATTCAAGCTTTCGGAAACAATCTTACTTTGAACGGGAATGGTTTCATACAGGAAAACCTGTCAAAGCGACCACTCGGATAAGGTGACCACCTGTCAAAGAAGACCACTGAAACCAGGATCAAGGGATGCTATTTCCAGTCAAATGACCCTGGATAAGGAGACCACCTGGTAACAGAGACCATGTTTTGAAGGTCCCTTGAGCGGTCGTCTTAGACAGGTTGAACTGTACTTCCGACAGGGAGCGATATAGTACACTTGCAACTATGACTTGCAACTATGATAATTATCACTCCCATATAAGCAATCTCACCAGCATATACATTGCTCCCTGCGGCTTGACCGGCGTAAGACAAGAGACTGTTGAGAGCTTCTCATATACTAGCTTTGACGCTGCCTGCAGTAAAGTGCACAAACATTCCCATACATGTACACACACACAAGCACGAGCGCGAGCGTGCACACACACACACACACACACACACACACACATGAGCGCGGCCACACAGGCACACACACACACGTGTGCACACAGACCCAGACACATACATACAATTTCAAAACAAGGAGTGTCATAGTCTGTTCTCGATACCACCATTCCCTTCCATAATGAATACGATTCACAAAGCAAAAGTCTTCAACACCGCAGCCGAACAAAACGATATCACACTGAAGATGTAAAGGCAAATAGAGATACCATCATCCATTATAGGTTTGCACATCATACCGACAAACCAAATATGCACCACAGTCCATTCATTTTGCTATACCTGCCCCAATTTTCTAAAACCTGCCCAAATTTCTAAATTCACTAGTCTTGGACATCTTAGCTTTAAAGGGGAAGTTAAGGCAAAAATTAAAATTTCACCAGTTGTAGTCTTCGGGGTGCTGAGTCGAATGGTCTTGGTCCGAGAAAGCTGAGACGCTCCCTTCCTACTTGAATCCCAATCGAACTCGCGCACTTCCACCGAAACTGGGTGACTGCGCCCTACTAGATGGGGATTTGTATGCAAAATGTCACTAAAAGCGCCATTTCGTTCTTATAAAAGCACGGATGACCGCGATTGGCCCATATGTTGTAGTCTTTTGGACGCTGAGTCGACTGGTTTTGGTCCGAAAAGGCTGCGATGCAGCGTTCCTCCTTTATTCCCAATCGAACGTGGTTGAAGAAGCGGTCACGTGCTCCTGGGTGCCCAAAATCACCTGGTCACCACGCCAGCAGGTGACAACTTTCACACCAAGGTTCAACTCGAGTGACAGGACTGCACCCAAAAAAGGTCAAACAGGCTAGTAAGTTGTACCCTGCAGGCACGGTGACTAGGTGACTGGCGTACGCAGCAGCACGTGACCACTTGTTCAACCATGTTCGATTGGGAATAAAGGAGGAACGCTGCATCGCAGCCTTTTCGGACCAAAACCAGTCGACTCAGCGTCCAAAAGACTACAACATATGGGCCAATCGCGGTCATCCGTGCTTTTATAAGAACAAAATGGCGCTTTTAGTGACATTTTACATACAAATCCCCATCTAGTAGGGCGCAGTCACCCAGTTTCGGTGGAAGTGCGCGAGTTCGATTGGGATTCAAGTAGGAAGGGAGCGTCTCAGCTTCCTCGGACCAAGACCATTCGACTCAGCACCCCGAAGACTACAACTGGTGAAATTTTAATTTTTGCCTTAACTTCCCCTTTAAGCTTGGCAAAAGGAGTAACACGGGGTCCCACGACGCAGGTTGCTTTTTTTCTACTTTTAACGAGAAACCACGAACCTCGAGAACAGAATATACTGCATGTTAAAGGTGGCTGCAGTCGCAGCAGTGGTGGTGAAACTTGAGCACCTCACCCGACCTGAGGTCTCGGCTTCAGTGACACTTCAGTGCACCAAAGAGTGGGGAAGAGTAGACAGAGGGTGTAGGGGAGGGGGAGAGTGCATCGTTTTTTCTATAGTCATCAGCAAGGTCAGGGCCGTACAATCTGGCCCAGCCGGTCAGGTCGTGGCCGGACTTTAATTCGAAAAAAGTTGATCCAGTCAATTCGTTCAAAACGTGGACAATGTTCATTTTTGGTCAATTATCCCATTTGGCCAGACCCCTGTTGTTCCACTACTGCTGCCCAACACTCTACGTAGGAGAAATGAAAGGTCAGGGTGCCGGTTTTAGATCAATGGTCTGTAGTAGACTCCACTCCCCGCCTTATAAGACTGACAGGACTGGTTTGAACACATGGCATATATGGCAAAGAGCACGTGGAATATTTTACGATCCTACCTCATAAGAGAGAGAGAGAGAGAGAGAGAGAGAGAGAGAGAGAGAGAGAGAGAGAGAGAGAGAGAGAGAGAGAGAGAGAGAGAGAGAGAGAGAGAGAGAGAGAGAGAGAGAGAGAGAGAGAGAGAGAGAGAGAGAGAGAGAGAGAGAGAGAGAGAGAGAGAGAGAGAGAGAGAGAGAGAGAGAGAGAGAGAGAGAGAGAGAGAGAGAGAGAGAGAGAGAGAGAGAGAGAGAGAGAGAGAGAGAGAGAGAGAGAGAGAGAGAGAAAGAGAAAGAGAGAGAGAGAGAGAGAGAGAGAGAGAGAGAGAGAGAGAGAGAGAGAGAGGGACGGAGGGAGAGAGAGAGAGAGAGAGAGAGAGAGAGAGAGAGAGAGAGAGAGAGAGAGAGAGAGAGAGAGAGAGAGAGAGAGAGAGAGAGGGACGGAGGGAGGGACGGAGGGAGGGACAGAGGGAGGGAGGGAGAGAGAGAGAGAGAGAGAGAGAGTGAGGGAGAGAAGAGTGATCTTACCTCTAAATGTCTGTTGGTGTTCTCGAAGAAATCATCGGGAACCTCGCTGAGGATACGAGGAAGTGCAGCTTGAATGGGACCACATGATCCGAGGATTCTTGCCCATAGGTTGTTCAAACAGACACGCACCTGGGGACAATGAACACGCACACACACACACACACACACACACACACACACACACACACACACACACACACACACACACACACATACACACACACAAGCACACGGTGAGCCGGGCTGGAGGACGGGAAGACATGGATGTACGGAAAGATAGCACTACACGGTTAGGGGACAAAATAACAGACACATCAGCTGGAGAAATACACAGACTGCCTGTTACTCACATCTTCCAGTCGGCCATGGTTGTCATGGAGAATCAACCAACCAGTCCTCCAGCCCGGAACAAGATATCTGAGTAACGGCACACATGGAAGACATTAACAGTTGTGAAGAATGTCAAACGTGTACAGAAGAGAGAGAGAGAGAGAGAGAGAGAGAGAGAGAGAGAGAGAGAGAGAGAGAGAGAGAGAGAGAGAGAGAGAGAGAGAGAGAGAGAGAGAGAGAGAGAGAGAGAGAGAGAGAGAGAAGTATGGATGGATGGACAGATGGTTACATACAAAGATGCATACAGACATACATGCATAGAGAGACAGACAAACAGAAAGACGCACTAACATTCAGCCAGCCAGTTAGACAGACATAGAGATGGACAGACAGGCAGATGGACGGACAGATGAATAGAGGGAGAGACAAAAGAGTGCCTCGAAACACACACAAACACACACACTGCTACACACCTTTTCCCAATACCCGAACAGGTCAGGATGGGTACACGGTCAGTGAGGCTGGCCAGCGGGTGAAACTCAGCACCACCATACACCTAGCACACGGCAGAGAGCACAACATGCTACATGATGCACTTGTACTGGATCAAATGCCAAAACTGGTCATGTGAGTCTCCCGGGAGTGGGCAGAGAGGTTAAAATATGTATTGCATCCATGCCAACATGGCCCAGTGCCTTGACATCACTCATCTCTACATGCTAGTGATGTCTAAAGACAGTTGGTCTAGAGGCATAGGTAGCAACAAGTGCTGAAGATATGGTAGCGTGGTCTGGTAGCCTGGGATTACTGGTCTCCATAGACAGGTGGTTCCTGAAGACTGGTAGGGTTTTATAGCAGCAAGAGTGCATTATACTGTAAAAGCAGAAATTTTTGCTGGCGTCATATTTTCGCTATTCTCCAAAATCGGCGGTTCGGCGGAGGACATTTTCCGTAAACCCGTTTTCCAGGTCAGTGTACTAGCACTACTATCAATCATTTTGGTGCGCTGTATTTTCCGTAAAAATTGTCGGCACCGAACTTACCGAAAATAAAACACAACCGAAAATTTCTGCTTTTACATTAGCTTTTTTTCAGGAGCGCTGCGACCGACAGTCAATTGTGATCTGGTGGCCTGGCACGGGGGAAGTATGAATGCAGTGAATGGGATTTTCAGTTTAGACAACTTTGGTGTGTCTGATCTACTCACCTCCCACCGCTTTAGCAACTGCATCTGCGCCTTGATCCTCGTGGGTGGTGATAATCCGATGTATTCGGAAAAAGCCCACGGCGGAATTCCTTTATATTATATCAGTCCTTTGTGGCTATTTGGATGACTGATGACGTCATGACCAGTCAGAGTTCAAATGTCAAAGAATTTGCATGTCGAAGCTCTTGTAGTCGAAGCAGGACATGGGACAGTATATCACTGTGTCCTGAAACTGATCAACTCACGGTATCTATAAAACAAGCACGGGAAAGCAGGCGCCCTTCATCACGCTTCTGCCAAAGAAAAACGCCAGAAAAAATTCCGCCGTTTAGAGAACCCATCACGGCTCAAGATCGGAGTTGTTGACTCCTGGTTAAGTACTCTCGATGACAGTGGTCTACTGCCACAAGCTACAGGTATTAAGTTATGCAACCAAAGAGAGATAGGCATTAGGACTTACTACTCCACCGTAGATCTCATCAGCCAGAATTGGCAACCGATGCTTTTCTGCAACTACGAGCGCATCAAGACATATGCACACGCAAGAACAAACACATCCGTACGTGCTCGCATGCATATGCACATGCACGCACACACAAACACACACACATATGCACACACACACACACACACCACAAAGCTGCTTGAAGTGGGGGTTTTCTCGCAACACATGCACGCACACACATGCGCACACACGCACGCACACACACACACACGGACACACACACACACACAACAGTGTTCCACTCTTGACAACAGTAATGCTTAACAATAGTTTTCTGCAACAAGCAGTAAGGTCTGGAAAACATGAAGATATCTAACCCGCCACAATCTCCAGCAGATGCTCCTTGCTGTACACTGAACCGCATGGATTCGACGGGTTCACCAGAATAATACACCTGGTCTTGTCGTCTATCAGTGACTCCATATGCTCTATGTCAACTTGCCAGGACTTCTCAGGCTGCGAAAAATGCAGGCGCACACACGTATACACATGCACATACGCACATACACACATATGCAAACATGAACACACACAAAATATAAACATTGAATGAAGTCTTTTTTTGTGGGACAGATAATTTGATCCAATTTGCCCAAAAAATCTACGACTCGCATCCCCACAACCGTTCTGTGAGAAAATCCATGTGATGACAACAAACTTGGGGTCTGATATCAACACCAGCGAATGCAAGAAAACACAATAATACTGGGCTTAGAGTGAAGCACATAGCTAATCTATTCTGATATCATCTGCCTGACCACACATACACACACACACACACACACACACACGCGAGCACGCACACCCCCCCCCCCCCCCCCCCACATACACGAGTGTGGGCGCTCACAAACAGTGAACACGACACTTACCAGCAGGTTGTAATACCTAGCTTCCAGCTGCCGACATGCAGCGTTGACTTTATACATCGAATAGCCTGGCTTGGGAATGAGAATATTAGTTCCAGGGTCACACAATGTGGTCAGAGCAAACTGCACGGCTTGAGCACATCCGGATGTTATGATAACGTGCTGCACACAACATGACGAGCAAGCAAGAGCAGAAGAAGAGAAAGGCTCGGTGCTGACATTATTATGTATGTATGTATGTGTGTGTGGGGGGGGGGGGGGGGCATGTGCGTGTGTACGTACGTGTGTGTGTGTGTGCGTGCGTGTGCGTGAATGTGTTTCTACATCTGAAGGAATGTTTTTGAAAGAAGGAAGCAGTGCCGATAGAATCGGTTAAAGCCAGGTGACTTGGTATTTTGTATGCCTATTAGGCGGTCCACACCATCAGCGTTTTTTGTCAAATAAAATGTCCCAAATTATACGCTCTATACATTTCACACACTCACATCTTCATGAACCGGATTGACGGGGTAGGAGAACTTCTTGGCAAGTGCTACCCTGGCCTCTGCCATTCCTGCACAGAGAGAGAGAGAGGACGACAGAAAAGATGAAGTGCACCGTAAACACACTGTTCCTGGCATCCGCACACAAGACACGCAAGTGCATTACTGAAACGTGTGACACTTCAACACATCGCTGCAAGTTGGCACAACACACATACCGCCATTGATTGGGTTCGTGAAAATTTCAAGTCATTAAACTGCAAACAGCAGTGAAGATCGCAATGTGTACGACGTATCACTGTATACAGACGCATGTGGGCACGCACACATACACACAAGCTCCGGCTAGCAGCTGGGCTTCTTTCGCTACCCCTCGTCATAGACAGCTAGGCCCGGCAGAACCGATGTGGCTGGTCAGGCCATGGTGGGACCAACCTGTTTTGGCTAAGACCATGTGTACTTGTCATATCACACACACACAAGTACAAGAAGCTCCGGTATGGCTGGACCAATAAACAACTGTTTCTGCTGGCTCTGCGTAGAGATAGAGTCCGACCTCGCTTATCTGGTCCTCTTTTATCTGGATACCTCGCCATCCGGAAGAAAATCGTTGGTTACCGATTCACAGCATATGCCATGCATGCAAACAGTATGACTGTGTGTTCGATTATCGATTATCCTTGCCTATCCGGACATTGTTCTGTGGAAAACGGATGTGCGCGGTTATGCGAGGTCTGACTGTATGTTCTGAGGTGTGTCACTGCAGGGGCGTCGGACACGGTATGGTCACTACGGTATTGACCGTACCACTTTTTTGTCTCCGTGAATCTATAAAATACACTGATCTGGGCTCTAATTTTCCAAAATATTCGCCTCAGCAACCCCTCCCCCACCACGAGTAAATTGTACTTCAGATGGCTGACTGTACCACACTAAAATACCTTCCGACGCCCCTGGGTCACTCAGTCATTTCTCTTCACTTTGTTAACTCTCACCTGGTGTTCGTTTGTAATCATTATCTTTACCAGCTTGCAGTACATCAGTCACAGCCTGGATAACAACCGGTGATGGAGGTAGGTTCTTGTAGAATGTAGGGTCACCTGCATACAGTGAATGTGTTAGTCAAGAACAACCACGCCGTAATACATGTACATGCAAACAAACACACACACACACACACACACACACACACACTAACACACACACACACACACACACACACACACACACACACACACACAAACACACACACACAAACACACAAACACACACAAACACACACACACACACACACAGATGCACCCACACACATACACACCCACAAGCGCACCCTTGTGAACAGTCATACACAGATGCACAATGGGCGTTTTCGATTACACGCATTTCGGTCAATTCTAGAATTAGTTATTGTTGATGCACAGTTCGATTGCACAAAAAGTGACAAATTCCGTCGTTAGAATTGATTTTGTCCAATTCCGTCAAATCTGAAGAGAAGGCGGAATTTCTCTAATTCTGGCGCCAGAATTGCACACTTGGTGTGTTACCGGTCTGGTCATGCATGACTCAAGTCAAGGAAGAGCCTCCCTGGCCGGTGTGGCACGAAAGCAGGGCTACAACTGCATATAGTTGCTACTTTTGTCTTCCCGAAAAGCAAATTGCCGCTGTTGAGTTTCCGCTGGGAGCTGATTTTTAGACCAGATCATTTTGGGTGGTCCTTTCGCACACGCGTTCAGCTTTATTGAAGCCCAATATTGTTGCCGACATGGAGCCTTCGCCGGGATGGACCGGTACACGAAGCTGGGTCGATGCGCGTGCGCGCGCGAGGGTGTAAGTGATATCTTTTTACGACCAATCTTGTTTGTGATATGGCATGAATAAAATGCGTTGTGAATTCCAGTCGTTCGTTTACATGGCCGGAATTCGTACATTTTGGTCATTCGAGAATTACAAAACCCAGTTCGAGAATTGTGTAAGCGTGTAATCGAAAGCGCCCAATGCACCGTTCGTGCACTTCTGTGGACTTCACTGCCGCAGTGGTCCCGAGTTCAACCAACAGTGACACACGTTGGCCTTACCGACGTTGAGTCTTATGAGCTCCTTGTCGGGATTCGGCTTGAATTTACCATGGTCGACCAGGCTCCGAATGGGATCGTTGCAGTGCCGCGATTCGAACGAGCCCCGAATGTTCCAATCCTGTCCTCCAGCCATGTTGCATGGGGCCGGGGATTTGTGGAGTTCGTACCTACCCGCACCAACTAGGAAGCAATACTAGTAGCCAAGCCTTGGGTCGTGCATGCGACAACGACAAAGACGACATTAGCGGCGGATGAAATGAAGTACGCACTTGTATCACAAACATAGCAACCGCCAAGGTCGAGCTCCAGAACATTTTTGAACTAATTACTTGTCACACGGTACGACCAAATGAATGGAATTTCTTGCCTGTGCATGTGTAGTCCAGTGTATGCAGTGTGTGCACTGACGTCCCAGTCTACATGAATGTCATCATTGTAGGCCGATTTTTCGGCGGATTTTGGAATCGTACAAAAATTCCTCAAATGCTCAAGACTCAAACAAGAGTCAAGACTGGTGCAAGAACATACCCGTAGAATCCCGCGGATAAGCCCACCCGCGTATATAAGCCCATGCCCGCGCATAAGCCCAGGGAAAGTAATAGTTCGAACGTCACAAGGCTTCGTCATACAAGCCCATGCCATGGCATGGGCCTAAGTCGTACCAAGAGTCCATAAAGTATGGACTCTTGGTCGTACCATGTACATGTAGGTAGTACATGTAGGGTTTTTTTGTTTTTTTGTACATTTCAACACAATCATCGGTTGTTTTTGTTTGCACAGTGGCTTTCAGCAATGTATTTCTCACTTCCTTGGTACTTTTTAATAGCACATGTTGGTGTCAGCGTATAAGCCCATGTCCGCGTATAAGCCCATGTTCTCGTATAAGCCCACCGAAATGTCCTTGTGAAACAGATAAGCCCATGGGCTTATCCGCGGGATTCTACGGTAATCATCTTGGCATGCATGGTGCATGCACGGTGTTGTCGCACGCGTTTCCGACGTGCAAGCGTGTCGGCCCAGTCGGCCGATTTCATGTCGCCGTTTGTCGGGGTCGGTGCCGGGAGGATCAGCCGAAAAATAGGACAACACCGAAATTCTACTGTAAATTGTAATGACTGGTTCGTAGTCAGGCTAACTATACTTCACTGGCGCTCAGTTTCGCAGGGCTGAAATGCTGGCACTGACGTACTGGCGCTGGTTGCATGTTATGTGGCAAATGTAGTACATGTACAGTCAGTCGTCGCATAACCAGTGAGTGCATGTGTCGGGTTTGCGTGTAAAATTTACTACATTCCCACGGTTAAGTTGTGACCAAAATGACCAAAATGGTAAGCACAAAAATTACAAAGGTGGAAGAATAGCTCTGAAAAGCAGCGAGTTTTTACTGAATCAATCCCTTATTCCAATCATCACCACTGGTAAGAGTAAAACACTGTGTTAGCTGGTTGAAACATCAACAGTAAGGGTTCAATTTAGTACGTTTTGGGTGTAAAATATCAGACAATCAAAACCGTAACGATTAGCTGGTGGCTGGCTACGGTGCAGCGAAAAGAAAGAAGAAATACGCAGACTGTGACAGAAGGCTGAGGACCCTACTTTCGAGGCACGACCACCTCTGGAATTCCTCAGAGGAATTGCACACAACCTGACCTTCAACGTTGTGGAGTGATTAGCTGGAATTGAAACATTTTCGCTGCTTGTCTATTGTTCCTCATTGATCTGCTCACCTCTGTACACAAATGGAGACCGCCTCGATTGGCTTAATTAATGGCCTCTGGGGAATCCTTGAAATAATACATGTAATTATAATATTTAAAAATTCAAAATTCTCTCCGTCCTTCTTTATTTTTTCTTCTTTCGGTGAAATGTCTGTTCGGCGAATTGGCCGCTCGGTGAACTGTCATTCTGTGAGTTGTGCATTCGGTGAAATGGGCATTCTGTGAACTGGGTACTCGGTGAGCTGTCGTTCGGTGAGCTGTCAGTCGGTGAACTGTCGCTCGGTGAATTGTCGTTCGGTGATATGTCGGGACACCATAATAGTACTGTCGATGTCGTGGATCTACAATGATTATGTTAAGACATAATCATTGTAGATCCATTGTAGATTGTAGTGTGGACCATGCTGTTTTCTCTTTTCTAAGTTAGTTGTTCTCTAGCCTTCATAGGCCCACAAATGATATTCGTATGGGGGATCATACTTATGCATTCTGTTATACTTATGGGGCCTCGAAGTTCAGAAAGTAGTTTCGTTTTTCGTTCTTTCATGCAGCCATAAGTACAACAAAATGCATTAGCCCCATCCCTCACACAAACAAGTCAACAAAGAGGCATCTTTGGATTGAGGACTGCTGGTTTCGAAACAACTGGTTTGAAGCTCAAAGTAGAGCTGGTGTTAGCTCAGAGCAGAGCTGCTGTTAGCTCAAAGTAGAGCCGCTGTTAGCTCAAAGTAGAGCTGCGGTTAGCTCAAAGTAGAGCTGCGGTTAGCTCAAAGTAGAGCTGCGGTTAGCTCAAAGTAGAGCTGCTGTTAGCTCAAAGTAGAGCTGCGATTAGCTCAAAGTAGAGCTGCTGTTAGCTCAAAATAGAGCTGCTGTTAGCTCAAGGTAGAGCTGCTGTTAGCTCAAGGTAGAGCTGCTGTTAGCTCAAAGTAGAGCTGCTGTTAGCTCAAAGTAGAGCTGCGGTTAGCTCAAAGTAGAGCTGCTGTTAGCTCAAAGTAGAGCTGCTGTTAGCTCAAAGTAGAGCTGCGGTTAGCTCAAAGTAGAGCTGCTGTTAGCTCAAAGTAGAGCTGCTGTTAGCTCAAAGTAGAGCTGCTGTTAGCTCAACGTAGAGCTGCAATGCTAAATGGATGTAATATAGCGCAAGGCAGAGCCGCAGCAAATAGCTAGATAACACCAGTTGTGAGAGTGGACCCGATTAGTGGGTATGATAATTATGATGGTGTGAATAAGTTGGATAGGGAGGGATGGTGGGAAAAGAAACACTGCTGAAGCACGATCCGTTGTCTGGAAGAGCACAACAGGGCAAGCAAGATTTGTTTTTCTTTTCCGCAAAATGGGCTGGTGCCATTTGTGATTACGCAGCAGAACAAAGCGCATGACGTCAGTCTTGAATGCAGTACAAAGCAATGCAGTGCAGCGTGTGCGCTAGTTCGGATTGTTGCTAACAAGTACTAGCACAGCTAGTACACCATTAGCCCCATCCCTCACACAAACAAGTCAACAAAGAGGCATCTTTGGATTGAGGAGTGCTGGTTTCGAAACAACTGGTTTGAAGCTCAAAGTAGAGCTGGTGTTAGCTCAGAGCAGAGCTGCTGTTAGCTCAAAGTAGAGCCGCTGTTAGCTCAAAGTAGAGCTGCGGTTAGCTCAAAGTAGAGCTGCGGTTAGCTCAAAGTAGAGCTGCGGTTAGCTCAAAGTAGAGCTGCTGTTAGCTCAAAGTAGAGCTGCGATTAGCTCAAAGTAGAGCTGCTGTTAGCTCAAAATAGAGCTGCTGTTAGCTCAAGGTAGAGCTGCTGTTAGCTCAAGGTAGAGCTGCTGTTAGCTCAAAGTAGAGCTGCTGTTAGCTCAAAGTAGAGCTGCGGTTAGCTCAAAGTAGAGCTGCTGTTAGCTCAAAGTAGAGCTGCTGTTAGCTCAAAGTAGAGCTGCGGTTAGCTCAGAGTAGAGCTGCTGTTAGCTCAAAGTAGAGCTGCTGTTAGCTCAAAGTAGAGCTGCTGTTAGCTCAACGTAGAGCTGCAATGCTAAATGGATGTAATATAGCGCAAGGCAGAGCCGCAGCAAATAGCTAGATAACACCAGTTGTGAGAGTGGACCCATGAAACCAGCACTCCGTTAGCTAAGCACTATTGACGCACAGCAAGGGTCAATTAATGTCAGCACAGGCAAGCATTGTGCAGCTAGAGTTCAGTAGCTTATTACTCACCCGAGTTGGGGATCATGTCATCCATGGCACGGCAGCAAGCCGGGACGATAGCTGGCGCTTACCGCTTGTTGTAGTCCGGATGTAGCATAGACACGCATCGCTCTTTCCACTGACCTGCCACTCGGAAGAAGGAGTCGGGGGCACTAGCCATAGCAGCGGTGGTGGCTGCACCAATGTGGACCGAATGCCCGGAGTAGTTCGACTGGGATGGTACACCGGCCGCAGCGACAAGAGACCATACTGTTACTGTGAATGACTGCCTGGTCAGCTGCTGTCTGTTCGAGAGTACGAACAAGAGTTGCTCCGGTCCCTCGCGACACATGGGTAGCTAACAATGGTACGGACCGGGCAGTACGGCGGTACAGACGGGCCAATGTCACTAGTAACGCCTTTACCGAATGGGTCCGTCTTGGATGAAAGCAGGAAGAGTTGCAGGCGTCTGTCACCAGGGGAGCTAGTACAGCCCCGTGTGATGCCATTAGTGAATTCAGCACACCGAAGAAATCCAAAGAAGCAGCATGGCGGCTTGGTAGAGCAGCTTGTCATGGCCATTCAGGATACTACTTTTCCGGCGTGCATCCGTCAGGTGTCGTAGGATTGGCATAGTTATAGGAAGGCGAGGGGTGAGTACAGCCGTACCATGGCATCGCTGGATGCCCTTCAACGCCCTCTTCAGAAGCCACGCATCTACTAAGGGGCCGGCAAACCCATTCTCAAGGTGGGCTTTATGCACCGCGCTCGCATACACAGATACAGTTCAGGGCACGCTGATCATAGTTCACGCATGAATGTGTGTCCAGGAACGATGACTCGGGCAGCAAAAGTGAGCTTCCCCAGGAGGGACTCGAGTTGACGCTGGCCGATGCTGCGCTCGCTGATAGTAGCCATGAGTGGCGCACGGATCTCGGACAGCTTGTCCTCTGGTAGCCGAGCTTCGTGGCGCTCGCAGTCTAGGACAATACCAAGGAAGGTCAATGATGGTGGTGGCCCTTCGAGCTGGGATGGAGCAAAGAGGAGTGCCGAGATACGTGAATGCCCGGAGGAGGATGGTGAGTTGCTGGTTGGCTGCAGCCAAACCAGTGGAGATATCGAGAAAGTCATCGAGGTAATGAAGCTGGTGATCTATAGCAAACTCGTGCTGCATGATCCAGTTGACTGCTGTGGCTACTGAGTCAAAGACGGCTGGGCTGGACCGGAGGCCGAAAGGCAGAAAGCGCTCGTAGTAGTAGGAGCCTTCCCAGCGAAGTCCTGACGGCGGACTGGGATCTGCCGAAATGCACTGCGTACATCGAGCTTGGACAAATACACAGGCTGTGGGCATGACCTGATGATGTTGATCGCGTTGTCAATGCTCGCGTAGTGCAGAGAGAGCGGCTCGGCAGGAATGCTGTCGTTCGCGCCGGTGCCTTCCGGACTAGAC